ATATTAAATGTATTAAATAACGGATAAAATAGATAATAATGCATTAAATGCTCAAACAAACTCAAAAGAATCTTATAAAAAGAGATAAACCCCATTCAAAAAATTGAATCTTATAATAAGAGACGGAGAAAGTATATGTATGTGCACCATAAACTTTCTGTGTCATAGGCAACATCACCCCATGAACCTTTTATTACTATTTTTTATTTTAATTATAAAACTTCATTTGTAGTCTATAAATAATGTTTTATAAATGGAACTGGAGGTAGTATTTGGTTCTGTGCCTCCCACCCTCTCCAGTCGTTGTTTGATTCTAGAAATTAAAGAAGCGAGTAATTATGTTGATCATTTGTCGCTAAAGACTGGCCACCAGTTTACAGGCATTAGCTACAAATGATGAAGACGTACAATTACAGGCTTCTTTCTGCCATCAAACAACAGCTTGACGCCGTGTTTTGCGTCAGTATTTATTAACCCCCACCTTATATTAGCTAGGGAGGTGAAGGATGATGATGAGAGGTAACCGTTGACATTGTTTGTATTTGATTAGTTTTGATAAAGTGTTCGTTTCATTCAAAATAAATAAATACCCCCTCTGTTCTTAAATAAATATACATACATATATATAATATTTCAATTCATTTTATCACTTAAATTATATTTTTTTACATGTGGTATGTTACAGAAAATTGGCATATATTTTCAACAAAATAATTAGTTTAACAAATTTTTTAAATATCTGCAAATTAATCATTACTTAAATAAATAATACCTTTGCACTTATTTCCAAAATCTCTGCAATAGAATCTCCTCAATCCATCCCTCTATTTTTTTTCCTCAAAAAATAACCTTGCACCCGAAATAATCCTTGTATAGAAAATGAAGTTAGTCTGTAAGAATGGTTTGTATCGATTTAGGTGAAACGTGCTCCGAATGTGATTTCAAACCAACGATAATTCTTTTCATTCACAAAACACCCATGCAAAAGTTGGAAATTAATCAAGAGACACTGATGCTAATCACACGCTTTCGTGTGTTGTAGGTGATCACTCCACGAACCATGCATATATATGTGTTGCAGATAATCCTAAACTTTCCTGTGTCATAGGTGACATGCATGTGTGTGTTAATTTGGTGAATCATATTCATATGGTGTGTTTCGATCAATAGTGAGAAAAGTTACTCTTTTTTTTTCAAATTATGTGATTTGTATTTGAACTGGTTTTTATAAAAACGTCAGTTTAAAAAGTTAAAACTTTTTTAGATGATTAGTGAAAAAGTTTGTTTATATGTACATGACTAAAAAAGACATAAATTTTATTTATATATTATATGTGTATAATATGATAATTTTAAAAAAATTTTAAAATCAAAATTATAAAAATAAAATTTTTGATGTATTATTGAAAAAGTTGCAAAACATTTCTTATTTTAATATTGTTTTTACGTTAACAAATAAAAATAATAAATAAATCTGGGTAGTGTGGTCATTTTTTATGCAAATGGCACTCCTTTTGAAGCAAGAGAGAGGATATAATTTCACTGCATCTTAATGTATTAGAAAAACTACAAAAAATGACTTCAAAATAAAAATTACTTCTTCTATGAAACTCTTTTATTTTACTGTGATCTCAAACAAAAAATTTGTGCTAAAAATTATTTTTATCAGTGAGAAGTCAGTTTTGGGTCTCAAAACAAGATCCATGCAAACCATAGACTATGGCGGTGGTGTGTACAATAAAAGTATTTTTTAAAAGTTTTTTTTTTAATTGAGATAAATTTTTCATATATTTATTTTAGGAGTGTTTGAATAGAAACCAAACTATAATTTTAAAAGTGATTTTACGGTATACGAAGTAAATATGCGAATGAGTTTATCTTGATTTGTGAAAAAATACTTTTAAAAAATTTTTTGAATATTGCCAGACACCGTATTTATATATCGTATAAAAATTTTTAAAATCATAGATTTTGATTTTATCCAAACAGTTAATGCGTGTTATGTGCGTACGGTGGGGATATGATACACGGCGTTGACAGGAATTGAGGACGTGTTATGCGACGCATAGGCTATGACATATGTTAGTCGGTCAAAGTGTCAATTTATAGCATAAGCTTTAATTTCCTGTAATTATATATTTATCACATCATGCATGGCCATTGAATAATGTGCGCACCTTCTTATTTTTGTATAGACATCATCATCGTTTGGAGTCCCCTTTCTACGTTCTTGCTATTTTCTCTCTTTGCTCCCTTTCCACGGGTTTGGTTTTGAAGTGATAAGATGCTGACGGTTATGGTGAGATCTAAACTGTTTAAATTCGATCAGTTTTAATAAATCAGACTTATCATTTATAATTGATAACAATTAGATGGGAAAAAATATTTTTTGGAGGATTTTAATGATAACTAAAAGATTATCTTTATTTAAATTCTATATTTATTAAACATATATGAATAGAATGAAATTAAATGTGGTCCGTCCAATTTTGATTGGATGATTTAGATTGGTGCTCATCACTTTTGCAAACGTGTTCAATATTGATGTAAGGTCAAATGTTAGTTAACCTTTTAACAGTTACTCGTAAAAAGGACGAGGAGGAAGGGACCATTATATAAATTTGATGGAAGTTTAGTTTAATTAAAAATACAGCGAATATATTAGACAGTCAGAATAAATCTCTAATGATCACAAAAATCTGAATTCATCAAATTAAACACTGGTTCAACTCGAAGGAGATGGAAAAGAAGTCTTAATCCAAGATTAGTCAAACAATAGAATGGCAATTAAGTAGTCCTCTACTCCTTAATGTTGAATCTAATTGTTAAGTTGATTTTAATTCTAAATGTAAGACTTATTTTTATATTTATTAATTTTTCTTAAATTACCTCCAGTGATATTCTATTTACCATAATCAAGTAGGAAAGAGAGAGAGATGATATAAAGAAAGATGATTATGGTGTTTTAGAAAAAATATGTCATATTTTTATAATTAACTAACTTATCTAACTTTCTTAATTTAATCAAATTAGCTAAATAAATCTTATATTAAGGACAAGAGAAGTATCTCCTATGAATGGTGCAAATAATGTTTGGCTCAATTTGCAGGCTTTTAACGATGTAACTATCCATATGGTATGGAATTTTTTTGTTGCGTCATGTGATTTGCAATCGCTTATTTGGTAGTATTAAATTATAGTTACTCGATCATCTGTTGTAATCAATGTTTGCCTCGGGCTTCTCTCATGTTTTCAGATGTTGAGAGGACAGCGTGGTAAAATCACAACATTCTGAAAATCGTTCTTTTGGATTGATATGAAGAAATATGATGATTTTGGGAGACTAATTTGAGTTCGGGGCATTTTTAAATCTCCTAAAAGTCTGAAATATATACAAAAATAAAAATATAAATCTACATGGAGCTTTAATGTATGAGAACGCCACATAGTTTAAACTCGTTGTATTTGTAAAGCATGATTATTGGTTATAATGTATTGATGATGCGTTATTTAATTTGTTTCCATTTCCCCCCAAATACCATCGATGCTTTATTTTTAATTAATTAAGCAGGGTTTAAATTGTTTAATAGATTAATTAGAATCTATCTGTAACTTTATAACTCGTTATGTCTGTATCTATAATAACAATATCAATATCAATATTTATTATAAAATCTATATATTGATATAGATGAATAAGTGGCAGTGGAATGAACTGGCTAGTCTCGAGCCTGAGAAATATTCGCAGGAACATGCCAGAAAACCACAAGCCCACTTAGCCCAGCTTGAATATAAAATTCACAAGAAATCGGGCACAATTATTAAATAAGGATAATAAATAAATAAATTTATAATAATACCATTAATAATAAAATTCAAACTATAAAATCACAATTCTATAATTTTTCAATAATATGTATCATGCCAAGTTTATGATCCAATAATTAGAAAATATATATAACTAAATAATCATCCTATTATTCTCTCATATTTATTATTTTTTAAAACAACTAATTTATTTAACTTATAAATTTATATATACATACAAACAAAAATATTATTATACAATAAGTACTTCTGAAAGATAATATCATATTTATTATAATTAACTATTATTTTTATTCTAAATATAAGATTTACTTTGTACTTTACTACAAAGTGGATTTATATTTAGTTTAGGATTGAAAGTAATAATCTATTTGACTTATTTAATAGTATATGTAACTTAATTAAATAACTCTTGTATTAAGAACCTGTATAGTATTGTGATTGAAAAATTTATGGCACATGATATAAATAAATGATATAATTTATAAAAATATATAATACAGATGAATTTTTTTTATCAATATATCAGAGCATCTAACTAAAAATAATCTAGAATGGATACCTTTGCAAAAAAAAAAATTAAGATGCAAATAAATGTTATATATTTATCATTTATTTAATAACACTAGTATAAAATAATTCAATCAGTAAAACATGAAACGCGTAAATTAAAGGAAAATCAATATTGGATCACTTGAAAAACAATTGAAGTCAACGCGATTTTGACCTCCTAGCTAATCGGTAACCTCAATATGATTCTCCTATTTCGGCGCGCGCATTATTTGGAAATGTTGTCCAGAATCTCGGAGCGCTGGTGGTGTGTGCATATAGTTATAGTACATGTGAAGACCGAAATCAAATCGTTTGCCCACAAGAAATTCTCAAATGCCATGCCGTATAAGAACACATACATGACAGGCGGGGTCCCGTTGTGAGTGATCCGAAAAAAGGGAAAACAGCGTAACTGAATTTGGAAAAGGAAGTGATGAAATTCCCATCATAACCATGACAACCACAACAGACGAAGGTTTCTGGCGCCGCCAAATGCGTGGGCTTTAACGTAATTCCATCCTGCTTCTCTCTAAATTGGCCCTGCACCTGTGCGATTCATTGCATTGTTTCTTCTACGTTCGTCTCTCCTCCTTCCCCCCGCCCGTACACTTTTCTTTCTTCCCTAACGCTCTGCAGGAGAGAGAAAGAACCACAGAGAGAGAGAGAGAATGGCAGCAGCTACTGACGGGACCGAATATTTCGACGCCGGATCACTGCGAAGCGAGAGCTTCGCGAGGCCATCGAACTCGGAGACGTTGGAGGAGGACGAAGAGGAGCTCCGGTGGGCGGCGATTTCTAGACTGCCGTCGCAGAAGAGGAACAATTTTGCGCTAGTCAGGCAAGCGTCTCGGACAGCCGGTGAGACAGATGACGAGAAAGGAGCGGATAGATTAATCGATGTGAGGAAGCTCAATCGCGCTCACCGTGAACTCGTCGTCAAGCAGGCATTAGCTACCAATGATCAAGACAATTACAGGCTTCTTTCTGGCATCAAAGAACGGCTTGACAGGTGTCTGTATTTTTCGGTTTTGAAAGTTCTTCATGAAGAATCGTACCTGTTTAGAGCATAAATTATCTCAACGTAAAAACTGATGAGTACTCTCATATTTTTTTTCAAAAAAATGAATACATATATCCAGTTCTACAATCAAGTATGTTATATTACTTCAAATTGTATATGGAAACCGTTTGTGTTGGATTCACACGTATCCATATAGATACGTACGTACTACACGAAAAGGATCAGTCTTTCTTTGATTTTGCTTTAGCTGTTTTGTTATTGCCATTTTTTTTTTCCGGATACAGAGTTCAATTGGAAGTGCCCAAGATCGAAGTGAGGTATAAGAACTTGAATATTGAGGCTGATGTTCAAATCGGTTCAAGAGCTCTCCCAACTCTGATCAATTCCACACGGGACGTTATTGAGGTTCTTCATTTTGAATTTATTTCCGTTTTTTTAATTCCTGATAATAAACTCTATCTGAATCTCTAACTCCAATTCGTTGCGGATGCACCCAGAATGTTCTAACCAAACTGGGGATATTTCGACCCAAAAGGCATTCACTAACCATCCTGGATAATGTCAGTGGCGTCATCAAACCTAAAAGGTAATGCTTCTTCTTCTACTGTCATTTTCTACTTCCGTCATGTGCCGTTAAAATGTCTTTATTGGGTTAATCTAATGATATACTACTAATTTAAAGACTTGTACGTAAGTACTAATTTACGAAACAAAATCTTGCTTCCCGGACACTAACACGTCCCATATCAAATCATAAAAGCTGTTTTTCGGTTATGTCTGGCAGAACGAAGTCATCACTCGTTAATATATGGAACGAATACATTTTCTTTCAGTAAAGTGTGGTTCAGTTACGCTATTTCTTGAATTGAATACAAACAAGCACATGGGTTTATATGAAATTGACGACTCCACATAAACTGTTGGCAATTTCAGCGGAATGGAGCAAGAAGTAATAAATTACTAATTACTAATATATATATATATATATATGTATATATGTCTATATATTGAATCAGACAATAGAAAGTCATGGTGGTTGATATCACAAGTGAGGCATATCACAAGTGAATATAATGTTCTTTATCTGAGAAGTTCAGGACTTTCATGTGTGCTGTTTTCTTTCTGGGTAAAAGTAATGAGTTTGGTGTATTATTCAACAACACTTTGTAATTAGAACACGTCATTAATTATTTCTGTAGGATGACTTTGCTATTGGGTCCACCCGGGTCGGGGAAAACTTCCCTGCTTTTGGCTCTAGCTGGCAAGCTTGATACCAACCTGAAGGTAACGTTTATGTTTATTCGCTAATATCTACACCTTTTTCTTTGTTAAATATCATCAGTACTATGTACATACTTTTTAATTTGTTAAAAAATATATTTCATATCAATAAAGACAAATACTTTAGGGAACTGAGTTAAAATAAATTGCTCAAAGTCGCAACAGGTTGCATTTTACCATTCGAATGATTAATGCTTCCCCCATTCTTTATTATAAACACCTAAAAACAAGTTTACATAAATTACTAAAGTTAGCTGAAATTAGTTATTTCATGAAAAATATTAAAACTACTCTCAAAAAAAGTTATTAATTAGAGGAGTTTAGTTAATTAGCTAGGAAATTTTATACTTAGTGAGAGACGCTAGGTGGAATAAATTAATGTACTAGGCAAAACATGTTATATTATAAAACATGCCGGATTTCCTTTCGTGCAATAAGGATTGGAAGTATCTAATAAAACTGAAAAAACAGTGGACGGGGTGATTAATCTCCGATTATGTAGAATGGGCTCTCGGGATTATGGGTTGGCATGTCCTCTAGGCGGAGTGATTTGGTTTTAATCCATTTAACACTAGAAAGCATTTAGGCCTAGAAGGAAAAAACAAATTAGGTTTGAGGATTTTTATCTGGATTGCACTGTTGAGAAGCCCAGATTTTATAGCATGAACTTTAGTATCAATAGTTTAAGACGGGTTAAATTGCATCCCGAGGTAATTTTCGGATGCATTCAGTATACTGAAATATTATGCTTTGGTATTAGATGCACACAAAAAAAAATTATTACAAGGTGCTGGATTCACATGAAAAAAATATTTCGGTTTGCTAGATGCAAAAAAAAAAGCTTTAAAATGCTGAACACACTTGAAAAAAATACTTTAGGAGTGCTTGGTGCACCTGACAAAATTTTTTAAGATGCTGAATGCAGTTTAATCCATTTAAGATCATTACACATCCTTAAAAAACTGATTCTCCAAATTTTTAAAATATTTTTCATTGTTCTTTTTTCCCCCCCTCTGCAGAAAAGCGGCAGTATAACGTACAATGGACATGATCTAGATGAGTTCTGTGTTCAAAGGACTTCTGCATACATTAGCCAAACAGATAATCACATAGCAGAACTGACGGTAAGAGAAACTTTCGATTTTGCTGCCAGATGTCAAGGCGCAAGTGAAGGTTTTGCAGGTATATATATTGACTTCATTAATTAAGCTAACGGTTAAAAATGCATTTAACCTTAGAAACTTGCAGCTATATTATATTAACAAAATCTTCCTTCCTTTCAGGATACACAAAGGAACTGAGTCGCCTTGAGAAGGAAAGAAACATACGACCAAGTCCAGAAATTGACGCCTTTATGAAGGTTGCTATCTAAATTGTGTAGTATATTATAAAAATAATGCACAGGCTACTTGACTCCAATGCCATTTCATGAAATGTGTTCATTAAATGAGTGATGCTTTCTCTCATTCATTGAATTTCGAATAGTGTCTATTTTTAGATGCATTAGTAGTTGAGCTGATCAACAATATATACAACTAACTTTCTAAATAATGAAATCGTGCGATTGTTTGGTATCACTTATATAACCATTTATAAGCATATTTCATATAAATCAAGACAAAATTCTTCTAACATGCTTGTTTCGTATTCTGTAAACTATAATTAAAAAGCTTTTTATAAGCTACTCTAAACGAACCCGTTACCAATTAACTGAGTGAGAAAAAACTTATCCGTTCTCTCTCTTGTAATCCAATATGCCGGCATATCTCCTAACTTACTACTTGAAATTCTTACCCTCCACAGGCATCATCCATTGGTGGTAAAAAGCATAGTGTGGCCACAGACTATGTTTTGAAAGTACTTGGTCTCGATATATGTTCGGAGACGATAGTTGGGAACGATATGATGAGGGGAGTGTCTGGTGGCCAGAGAAAAAGAGTTACGACGGGTTTGGCTCTTCCCTTTACGTTAGCTAGTTATAATGGCTTTGTGCTAAACATTTGGAACTCGTCATAGAAACTGCTTAGATTAACTACATTACTTTTTTAAATTGTTTTTTCTGTTGCAACTGAAGTAATTCTATTTTAGTTCATCTGATAATACAACTAGAACTTTATTGTTTGAGATCTGTAGGCAGTTTCTAGGATCTAGATCATCTATAAACTAAGAATTTTACAAATGCTGTTATTATGTCGTAGCCGGATGAGTTAAATATTAAGATGTCACTGATTTGAGCTTCGCGTACATATAGTTGCAGCAATCAATGACAAGCAAGTGCATCGCCTTTTTTTTTTCCCCTTCTTCCAGGAGAAATGATTGTTGGACCAAGAAAAACTCTATTTATGGATGAAATATCAACTGGACTTGATAGCTCTACTACGTTCCAGATAGTTAAATGCATAAAGAATTTTGTTCATCTGATGGAAGCTACTGTACTCATGGCTCTCCTTCAGCCTGCACCCGAGACATTTGAGCTGTTTGATGATCTGGTGCTTCTGTCCGAAGGGCATGTGGTATATCATGGCCCTCGAGAAAATGTACTGGAGTTTTTCGAATCATTAGGTTTCAAACTTCCACCTCGTAAGGGCGTTGCAGACTTTCTTCAGGAGGTCTATATCTTCTAAGCCAATATGCTTTTTATGGCCTACGTACTGCTTTCTGATTGTATGCTCACTTATTTATTTATTTTTTTCCTTTCTGAGCAGGTGACCTCCAAAAAGGATCAAGCTCAATACTGGGCTGATCCTTCGAAACCATACAGGTTTCTCTCAGTCCGTGAAATTGCAGATGCCTTTAGAAAATCTGAATTTGGAAGGTCTGTGGATTCCATGCTATCTGTTCCATATGACAAATCAAAGAGCCATCCTTCAGCTTTGGCCAGAACTAAATTTGCTGCATCAAAGTGGGAACTCTCTAAAGCTTGCTTTGCACGAGAAGTGCTCTTGATCAAAAGGCATAGCTTCCTTTATATATTTAGAACCTGCCAGGTACGCTTTATTATTAAATTGTCGTGCATGAACTCTCTCTCTCTCTCTCTCTCTCTCTCTTTTTCACATTTTAATCTTACCTTTTGGCATAGGTACTGACGTACCGTAAAAACCTTCTCCCCACATAGTATCCGAATTTTTAAGTGCGGGATACACTTAAAAAAATATTTTAAGGTGTTAAATGTATTAAAAAATATTTCACAGTGCTGAATGTACCTAAAAAGGTATTTTAAGTCCTGTATATATTACAAAATATTTTAAGATACTAAATATACCTAAAAAATACGTCGAGCTGCAAAAACACAGAATTTCGGTATAATTGTGGGGGGTTTGTGCCAGCGATTTTATAAATGAAAAGGGACCTCAAAAACTCGGCATTTCATGCTGTTGCAGATTTATATTTAGAACTTTTTTTGGGCCTTGATTTATATTTAGAACTAACACTTTATTTTGACTTTTCTTTATACATAAAAATAATTTTTAATTTAAACTCTCAGCATCATAAATTATTCGTTCAAGCTCGAAGAGATGAAGATTCTTGCGACGGTGACTTAACAAGATATACATTGGATTTGACTGTTTATTTTCATGTTGTTAGGTTGTTTTTGTTGGATTTGTCACATGCACGATATTCATTCGAACAAGACTACATCCAACGGATGAGTATAATGGAAACCTTTATCTCTCGGCTCTGTTTTTTGGGCTCGTTCACATGATGTTTAACGGATTTTCGGAGCTACCTCTCATGATATCTCGGCTTCCAGTTTTTTATAAGCAAAGAGATAATTTTTTCTATACTGCAATGGCTTGGTCTTCTTCTAGTTGGCTTCTTCGTGTGCCCTATTCAGTTATTGAAGCACTAGTATGGACTGTAGTAGTATACTATAGCATTGGATTTGCTCCTGCTGCTGGAAGGTACCTTAATTTATTACTCTCATCCTTTCTATTGCAAGTTTCTCCCTTTCTAGCCTCTTAAGCGCATACCCATATTTGCCTAATTCTGTTAACTATTTCAGGTTTTTTCGCTACATGCTTTTACTTTTTATAATGCACCAAATGGCGTTAGGTCTCTTTCGGATGATGGCTTCTATTGCTCGAGATATGGTTCTTGCTAATACATTTGGTTCAGCTGCGCTGCTGATTACATTCTTGCTGGGAGGATTCATTGTTCCCAAGGGTACCCTTTAATTTGCACAACCTTTCGGATAGATTAAGTTCTATCAAACTGCTGTTGATGATCTGACCATTAATATCTTTTCAGGAATGATCAAGCCATGGTGGATTTGGGGCTACTGGTTGTCACCCCTTACCTATGGACAACGCGCCATCTCAGTTAACGAATTTACTGCCACCAGGTGGATGCAGGTATTGAAGCGGGGCTAATGTAACTTTTGTATATGTGTTTTTTTATTAATACTAACGGATGTTTTGCTGTAGATTATGTACTAATTCCGTAATCTGTTTGTAGAAATCATTAGCCGGGGACAACACGGTTGGTTTTAACGTCCTCCAGTCACATAGTTTACCGACCCAAGATTACTGGTTTTGGGCTGGTGTTGGAGTTTTACTCGTCTATGCAATTTTTTTCAACAGCATGGTCACTTTGGCCTTGGCCTATTTGAATCGTAAGTGTACAGTTTTTCTCTTAATCACTTTATTTCGTTTTGATTTTTATTCCTTAGCATTTTCCTTATATATGTTATTCATTCCTTTCACTGTTCTATGGTATCTGTTCTGTGTTCTTTCACAATTCTTTAATACCCTCTATCTCCTCTTAATTCTTGATGATTTCATGCTTCAGCACTGAGAAAAGCGCAGATGGTTTTTCCCGATGACTTAGACAACAATTCTACTGGAGATGGTAATGCGGTTGGCTTGACGGCGCATAGTGATAAGCAGGTAAAGGACACGGGTTCTATGTCTCCTGGAAAAGGAAGTAAAGCAAAGGGAATGATTCTTCCATTTCAACAATTGACTATGACATTCCACCAAGTCAATTATTTTGTTGACATGCCCAAGGTGGGTTTCTTGCTTTTCTGGATTCTATTACGAATATACGACTAGGCAAAGCAAACACCAGATGTACTTTTTCACCCCCTCTTCAACTGATTAACTAACTTGTTTTATCAGGAGTTAAGTAAGCAAGGAATCCCAGAAACTAGGTTGCAGCTCTTGGCAAATGTGAGCGGAGTGTTCTCACCCGGCGTTCTTACTGCATTAGTCGGGGCAAGTGGAGCGGGAAAGACCACTTTAATGGATGTTCTAGCCGGCAGAAAAACTGGAGGATACATAGAAGGCGACATTAGAATATCTGGTCACCCAAAAGTGCAGAAGACATTTGCCAGAATATCAGGATATGTTGAACAAAATGATATACACTCTCCTCAAGTTACTGTTGAGGAGTCCCTATGGTTTTCTTCATCTCTTCGTCTTTCAAAGGATGTCGGCGAACATTCAAAACGTGTAAGCTGCTTCATTAGACAGTTTTTTTTTTGCCCCGTTTAATATCTGGCTATGGAGAATTATTTTTCTTAGTATTTCTCCTTCAAATGTGTCATGTAGGAATTTGTTGAAGAAGTAATGAGACTAGTTGAGCTAGATGCTCTAAGACATGCTTTGGTTGGCTTGCCAGGTAGTTCTGGCTTATCAACGGAGCAGAGAAAGCGATTAACAATTGCAGTAGAGCTTGTTGCAAACCCTTCCATTATTTTTATGGATGAACCTACATCGGGACTTGATGCACGTGCGGCGGCCATTGTAATGCGAACTGTTCGCAATACAGTTAATACTGGAAGAACGGTGGTTTGCACCATACATCAACCTAGTATTGATATATTTGAAGCATTTGATGAAGTTAGTTCAATTCCTGTATTCTGATCTGTTAAGTGCTCTAAGAATAACTTCCAGATGACACTCTGGTTTTGGCCTGAGGAGTCTAAACTACGTTTTCTCCTTTCAGTTACTTCTAATGAAACGTGGGGGTCGAGTGATATATGGAGGAAAACTTGGTACGCAGTCACAGATAATGATAGACTATTTTCAGGTGACATTACAGTTTATTTTTCAGCAAATCCGTATTCTGGTTTACATTGTCTGTTGCATCGATTTGCTTAATCAAATGGAAAAACGTCCTGCTCTGCCCTGGTCCTCCAATTAAAGCCTATATATTGTCAAATCTATTAATTCTTCTTAGCAAAACTATGAACAGAATACACAAGACATATAAATCAAGGAAGTTCAGGTCCTATATTGCATTAGTTAAATATAAAATGATTATGCATAATTTGTTTTTCTTTCAGTTTTCATTAAATTTTTGTGTAGTTATTTTTCTATTTTTCTTTGCAGAGTATCAAAGGAATAACCCCTATTCCAAGTGGCTACAATCCAGCTACTTGGGTACTTGAGGTAACTACACCTGCAGCTGAAGAGAAACTTGACGTGGATTTTGCTGATATTTACAGGAACTCTGAACAATACAGGTGATTTTCATTATACGCGAGCTGTTTTCTCTGTGGTGCTACTAGAGAAGTCTTTCTCTTTCATTCCTCTTAAATACGTAGTAATATAGTGAATGAATAATTTTTTTTCTCTTATGAGTGTTTAATTTACCTCAGGACGGTGGAACAATCTATTAAGGAGTTCTCACATCCTCCTCCTGGTTCAGAACCCCTCAAGTTTGACTCCATGTATTCGCAAAACCTGATGACCCAACTTTCATTGAACTTACGGAAACAAAATCTTGTGTACTGGAGAAGTCCACAGTATAACGCCGTGAGGTTATTTTTCACCACAGTCAGTGCTTTAATATTTGGTTCCGTATTTTGGGAGGCTGGCTCAAAAAGGTGAGCATCCGTACCGTTTCATTCTCATATTCTTATGTCTCATGAAGGGAAATATCTATCTACAAATGTGCGCAAACATGTCTTTTATAATAATGGAGGTTATGAATTTATTTTGCAGAGCAACAACTCAAAACTTAATGGTTGCTATGGGAGCTCTTTATTCCGCGTGCTTGTTTCTTGGTGTGAATAATGCTTCTTCCGTACAACCAATAGTTTCAATAGAAAGGACGGTCTTTTATAGAGAGAAAGCAGCTGGAATGTACTCTCCAATCGCATATGCCGCAGCCCAGGTGGTTTTTGGCACTGTTCTACACAAATTTTCAAAATGATATAATGTCCAACTGTGAACTATACTTAATTAACAAATATCATCCGTGCTTAATTTGATCAACAGGGTCTTGTGGAGATCCCTTACATTTTGGTCCAGACAATTTTATATGGCGTAATCACATATTTCATGGTCGATTTTGAATTAACAGCTGGTAAGATTTCAGCTTCTATATATAGATCTTGGACCTGGGAATCTGCTGATGCACATTTGCGAATTCATTACATGAGAATTTATAATGCTTGTAGTTAGAGTATTTTTCTTTCCTTTTTCCTTTTTTTTTTTTTGGTTAAACGCATCCGAACTGCCGATTGCTTAAATGGTTGTGTATCTGTTCTTGGCCGTTATTTGAAGCTTAACTATTATATTGCAGGAAAATTCCTCCTCTATCTTCTGTTTATGTTCTTGACTTTCACCTACTTCACCTTCTACGGCATGATGGCTGTTGGTTTGACCCCATCCCAGCACTTGGCAGCTGTTATTTCTTCCGCATTTTACTCTTTATGGAATCTCCTCTCAGGTTTTCTGATTCCAAAATCGGTGAGTGATATGCTATACTTTTGGTTAAATATCTCCTTCATTTTAGTTCGAGGAATACTTATCTTCCTCTCTGCTCTATAGGCCTCAGAAATTAGGAAATACTTATTTTCCTAGCCATTATTCATTCTATTCTGGTGTTCCTCATAATAAGTTAATAACGCAAATGGCTTGCACGTTGCAGAGTATTCCGGGGTGGTGGATTTGGTTCTATTACATCTGCCCAGTTGCATGGACGCTACGTGGTATTATCACATCCCAGTTTGGCGATGTTGAAACCATCATAGTGGGACCTGGATTCGAGGGAACTGTAAAGCAGTACTTAGCTTCAAGCCTTGGATATGATCTTGAGATTAATGGAGTTTCTGCTGTGCTGGTGTCTGCTTTAGTGCTTATTGGCTTTGTTCTCCTCTTCTTTGGCTCCTTTGCTGTATCCGTCAAATTCTTGAATTTCCAGAGAAGATGATTGGATATAACACATAGATCCAAAGGATTAGAGGACTGCCATAGTAATTACTATATCGACCTGACAGTGATACTATACCTGACTTGTGAAGTGAACTCAAGTAAGAATGCCAAGTTTATTGATATACAAACATGCATGTTGGTTCAGTGATAATTTATTTCTAAATTCAATGTGACAAGGGATTTATTTATTTCTTTTTCTTTAGTAAATTAAGTACATGAAAAATGATCCTCACAGGAAGATTAAACAAAAAGGGAAAGAGCGTACGAGCGTTATTTTGAACCCCAAAAGTCAAGAGTGAAACCTTATTATTACAAAGAAAGTACTACACAGAGCCTTCTTTGGATCCTATTGTATAATTAACCTTTTTTTTTTTGGTTTGTGATGGAGCTCAACACCTGAGTCTGAAAATGTCGCAATTTGAAGCATAAAGTAGTGGCATCCAAACTCTCCACTTCCAAGTGAAAAGAAGTTCTCATTATCTCTGAAATCCATAAAACGGTGACGTCTTGGATTTTCTTAGCTTTCTGCAGCTGCCAAGAAGTGAATTAAGCCACTAATCAAGTCAAGTGGCCATGGCATTCACAGATGGTTGAAATCTAACATTCCCTCCAGGAATTTGATCTGCACTCAAGAAACCAAACGATCAAATAAAAATAATTGTTATCGTGAGAATATAAAATCCCAAAATATTATTTAGCTAATTGATTGTGCATTTTGTATTGTACAAAATAAATATGTTAAAAGATTTTGTCTCGTAAAATGCGAAAGTGCTTTTTTTTTTTTTGTTCCAGTGAAGACAATTGGGTATAATCACATCCAATCTATCTAACTTTAAGGTGTATATAAGTGGGATAGATGCCACCTCCTAACAAGAAAAACTTGAAATTTCTAAGTGTTTAAAATCTTAAGAGTTGAGAGAGGCACTTACTGGCTAATGGAACTTTATGAACAAAAAAGCATGCAGCAATGACAAAGTAGCAAAGGGTAAGCACCACTCCTTTCATATAGTGTGAAGTTCCATCCTAAATGTAATACAACAGAATCATACTGGTCAAATAAGATATTTTATGAACAGAAATAACATTATTAAATAAAAGTGAGTATCCATATAAGAACTTTGTGAGTTACCAAATTACCTGCAAAGTGAAAGCTGTGACTATTATGGTCAGCGCAAGACACCCAGTTTCTAGGAGATTAAAATCTAGGTCCATTCGCACACCCATTATCCATGCAACAATCACACTTAATGGAACCTGAAACATTGATAATTACATGATAAGAATTTAATTACAAACAAAAATTAGATTAATTAATGACTTTGTGTGTGTGTGTGAGAGAGAGAGAGAGAGAGATCTTAGTTTCTAAGCAGCGTTACCACAAACATAGAAATTTGGGTTGCAGATCCCATAGCAACACCAAGCGATATATCCTGCAAAATAATCAGGGAGTTATATGTAAAGACACATTTTAATTAAAAGACTAGAAACTCAAGTTTATGAAGTGACCATGAAAATGGAAAATCATACCAGCTTGTTCTTAAAAGCAAATATGATTGAACCAGCATGTTCTGCAGCATTCCCCACAATTGGGAGCAAAATTATGCTAATGAAGCTTACAGAAATACCCCAAGAATCTGAAGCAGCCTAGTTAACAACATGTAAAAGGGTGAATATACTTTCAAATAAACAAGAATGAAGCCAATCAAATCAAATCAAATTATATATATAAATCTGATATATGTATGTATACCTCAATAGTCCCCACAACATATTCAGAAAGCAAAGATATGAGCAGTGTCATGGCCACCAGCCACGTAAATGCTACCCAAAATCCTATTGTTGCCTTCTCTTCTTCCTCATCTTCCTGCTCATCATTCCATTAAAATAGTCAGCTCACGGCTTCATAAATATTCCCCCAAGACAAGTGCTTGTTCAGCTTGTAAAACAAAAACAGAGTGGTTTTCTCTGAGATTTCAATGGAACCCAGAATGAAAAACTCTTGTGGGGTTGATTCTGTTCTAATCCATTACCTCCTGTGAATCAAATATCTGTCTGTGAGTTTTCAATTGGAAGAAGATATAAGCAACATAAGCAAGAAGCATAACAATGCTACTTGCTCTTGACAATTGAAGAGTACTGGTGGCTATAGGATAATGGTCCCCTGCTAGGGCATACTTAAAGATCAATGGCAGCAAATGGCAAAGCAACCCCAAAAGCAAAAGGAGTGAGTTTACATCTGCCTGTTTCTGTTCAAAGCAACAACATGTTAAAGGAATAGGTTAAAACAATATTAATTGAGTTTTTTATGAAATGAAATACTTCTCCAATCCCAAATGTATTTACACTACAAAATAGATCTTATATTTAGGATTAAAAGAAGTATATTGCAGAAGAGAAAGAAGACATACTCGGTCATATCTTTGTTCTTTCTTTAGGTTGGCAAGGCCTCCACAGAGAAGTGAAGAGCCAAGAACCAAGAGGAGGTTAGAGAGAATGGAACCCAAAAGAGAGAACTTGACAACGTTGATTTTGTTCTTGCGAAGTGCCAATAGTGCTATTATCATCTCAGTCGCATTCCCACATGTGGCATTCAAAAGCCCTCCAACTGTTTCACATCGTTTTATGCCAAAAAAGGTTCGTCACACTTGCGTTATACTTCTATCTCTATACATATAACCATCAATTATTCACCTAGTCCACACTAGTTGTTTTTTTTTTTTTCAACTTGATAATTATTCCAAACGAAAAGAAAATATCATACTGGGCGCAAGTCCTGATAACAAAACTGTTTAGTCTTAACAAAAGTATCCAACAGGCGTATGATGAAAATGGAATGGTTAATGATAATATACCTGTGGGGCCAGTGTAATATGCGATTTGTCTTGAATTTCCAAAGAAAGCAAGTCATGAAAAAGGTTTTAAAAAATAAAGTATATCAGGAAAAATAATTGATACGTCCAATTAGAGCATGAAATTGAGTTGGGTTCATAAAGGAAAACTTACTCAGTGAGAAAGCTGACACGTTCAGCTAGAGGGGCCAGCCCAAGTAAGCTCAGAGCAAAGATCCACGCCTACATTTAATTTTCACATCCAACCCAAGTCATCATAACGATTAATTGTTGAATTTTTTTGACGCGTAACTAAAAAATATATAAATGCTTAATTTCACCTGTAAAATGGAACAACAAGACCAGCTCTAATGTGATTGTGGGAGTTGTACGTACGCAGTTTTTAGTTTAAGAAGATAATAATAGTGAAGAGAAATGAGACCTACCTCCACTCTGGGAGAAGTTTAGAACTGACAGGGAGAAAGATCAACCTTTAATTAAAGAATATAACAGATTCTTCCCATGGATCATATATAAACATATATATATATTTACAAGTTTTCTATATGGTTTCCAATATGAATGATCAAAAGTGATATTTTAAAATATCAACGAGTAAATATTGTTGTTGATTTTTATAATTTGATCGGATTTTAGTTTTGATTCCCATATTTTCTTAAAAACTTTATTTAAATACAGGGATTAAAACTAAAACTTAAAAATTATTTCGACCATTCTTCAAATTTAGACCAAATCTTATGAAACTACTTGATCATACTTCATATACACTGGCTGAATTTTCTTAACTTTCTCAGGGTAGTTATCTAATAACTGCATTTAGCAGCATGAGGTGCGTGGAGAGTGAGAAGGCTTACTCGTCCAAAATGATAGGTATCGGCGGCAACGGCGAGAGGGACGGCCGGAAAAAGCACGGCAAGCTTGGTGCCGAAGATAACTTCTTGCAAGTTGCCCATAATTTTCCTCAGCATTTGACCTCTCATACCAAAGTTACTATTCTCTCTCTCCGTCATTATACTCTTCTTCCCACTTCCCTCTCCTTTCTTCTCAATGTCCTCTTGATCCATCCCTCTCTATCTATCTGTGCAGTTAGCGAGAGATATTGTCGAACTGAATGTGCTTATATATACTCATATGTCAGACACACAGCTATAAGGAATGAAGCTTATTGAGTGGTGGCCGGATCGTATATATTGAAGAATTGATGAATTGAATGCTTTCTGATCTGATCAATATTTCAGGGGGTACTCTAAATTTGGGAGTATGTTCCCAGTTTGAAGCTTCCACGAACTTTCCTTGTGTTTGCTTGCATCAGACACGTACCTCTCTTCTCTTCGTATCCTCTCATCATAGGCCCTGCTCCCTCTGCGCAACCGCTTAAACCACCCCTTCTGCTTTTTGTTTCTTTCCCTCAGACACAATAAACAAAATTTTCAGCATTTTGGTTAGCAAAATATATAATATAATGAATTATAAAATGTTGCCACGAAGATGTTTGATTGTTAATATATACGTACATTGGGAATAGTTTCATCTCAGATGAGAACCGCGAAGTTTGCAGGTCTCTATCGTTAACTCCAAGTTTATCAGTTCTTTTTTTTTTTTTTACCAGCAAGTTTATCAGTTCAATGTATAGGGAAAATTGAAAATTCAATTGAAAACTTATTAGTTTGAGATATTCATGTTAAAAAGATTTCTTTTTGGCCTCAGCATGTTGAGAAAAAAAATTAAATTGCGAATTGTTTACTGTACTATAGATATGCGTATAAATGCATGCGCATGTTGAGAGACTCGTTCAAAGCATGAAATGTGAGGACAACAAAAGGGAAAACTTTAAAAGAGAGAACAGGTTCCTCCGTGAAGGGCAAATGACAAATGTGAAAGCATTCATTGGGGAAGAATCTGATATCATATCCATATATGGCATTGAGGTAACTTTCTGGGAATTTTCGAGATAGAACTAAACGGTCGTGGGTCATCGTCGTTTTCCCCTCTGAGCTGCTAGCGTTCCATACCCCGTGTTTGCTGCTTCTCCAAGACAATAAAAACGTCAAACGAAATTTCCAGCCGCACTGTCGTATTTACCTTCCCAAAACCTTGCCTCTTTGTACCGGCCTGCTGCCTCCCCATTTTGTTTTTGACCGTGCAGCTTCTCACCCCCAAATCTAGTCTCCGTAAATAAAGTAAATATCAATATTCTTATAATTAATTAATTAATTAATATGCAAGATATAATATCTGGATGCCTGGTTCTGTCTCCCCTGTTGCACCGAACAACCGTCTCTCTCTCTCTCTCTCTATATATATATATATCAACACAAATCCAAGAGTAACCGCGCCGATTATTTACATGTTTCTCATTTTAAAATCATAGCAAGATTTCACGTGGCACTCAAAAAGAACATTATCTCATACTGAAATTAATTACTGTTCTAATTTTAAATATAAAACTCATTTTACAGGATAAATATGTAAGGTGACGCAGTAAGAATATATTTAACGTCTTTTGCATGTTTTTTTTTGGGGGCCCCTCCTCATATGGGCGTCTGTTTTGTTACCGAAAGAAAGCACCTGCTTGGGCCGACGACAGAAGGGATCAATTGTTTGATGGCCTTGGGCCGAATGCATTATGGCCCATAAGGTTTTAGGAGGAGTTGGTTTTGTGTTTGATTGATGTGGATCTTAAGCGTGCGTTGAACAGGATACACGTGTCTAACAAAAATTAATTCTAACAAAAATTAATGCTGGTGAAAAAAGCTTTCTTAGCTCACCATTAAAAAAAAAGAAGGAAAAATGTTCTTCAAAAGCAAGACATCCGAGTGGTTGTACAAGCAAAAATTCAACAGTGCAGGTGGCAACATTCATGACTTTTTTTTCTTTCTCTTTTTTTTGTGGAAAATGACTAGTTTTTGCAAATTTATTGAAAAATACTTTATTTCATAAAAATTATGGACCTATTTGAAATGACTTATAAGTAGATTTTTCAATCTTGATCTACAAAATACAAAACAATTATGTGAAAAGAATTTTATCTCAATTTACGTCACACATACTTATAAGTGATTTCAAACATTAATCTAAAGAAGACTCATAGAACATTTTCAAAATAAGAATTTTTAATTAAAATTTTATAAGATTAAATGAGGTTTTTAATCTGACCCATCCAACTCTGGAGGCCACTCTTTTACCTTAGAATTTTTCCCCCTTGCTCTTTTAAATGTTCCATGGTTTTAGGCTTTTAGCCCCTTTTTAAATGTTCGTTTATTATCTAAAAGTGGAAATAGAAGTTTCTAGTTCTAGTAGTGTCTGTTTATTTTTCTTTCGTGGGCCATAACATAGTGGAAATTTCAAGGCCAACTGACTCAATAGAAGGAAAAACCGAAAAAATTAAAACCGCGCGAGCCAAGCAACTCGAGCAGAAAAGCGGAGAGAAGAGGAGGAAGCTGTGGGCATCAAACCCTAGATAATGGCGGAGAAATTGGCCCCTGAAAAGCGTCACAGTTTCGTCCACAACGGTATTCTTCATGTTCCAATTCCTCGATTTCTTCTGTGTTTTATATTATGATCACCGAATGAAGCCGTCTGCGGTTCCATCGGTTTGTGCGCTTCAGGTAACAAGGTGTTTGAGTGGGATCAAACTCTAGATGAGGTGAATATGTACATAAACCTACCTCCTAATGTTAGTACGAAGCAATTCTATTGCAAAATTCAGTCGAAGCACGTCGAAGTTGGCATCAAAGGCAATTCTCCATATCTCAATGTAAGCTAAGATTCCCATTGCATTTTCCCTCGCGGTTTGTAAGTTTTTTCCTGCTATCATACTATCGATGCTCTCCTTTTTCATACGGTATTTTCTCATCATTTGGATGGGCTTTTTGTTTCTTTTGTTATACCGTCTTAGCACGAGCTCAATTGCCCGGTGAAGACAGATTCTTCTTTCTGGACAATAGGTAAGGGTTTGTAATTTCCTTGCTTGTTATTTGGCACTTTGTTTTTGTCCCCCAAGTATGTTAATACAATTAATTTAATTAAAAAAATTTTTTTTCCTAATTTTGGTAAGTTGATCTTGGCAATCAAGTTAGGGTGCTCGTATCCATGGTCTCAGATTCGAATGAAACAGAACCTGCATTTCACATTGATATTCTTAAGTTCCTTGATACTGTATATGCTGATTTGGGCTCTTGATATTCAGAGGATGACATAATGCACATAACACTGCAAAAGAGAGATAAAGGTCAGACATGGGCTTCTCCAATATTAGGTCAGGGTCAGCTGGATCCTTACTCTACTGATCTTGAACAGAAGCGTCTCATGCTTCAGAGATTTCAAGAAGAGGTAAATTTTACTTTCATCATTGTTCTTTTTCCAAACTATGGTTTAAAACCTCAGAAGTAGTTGCTACCTAATATGAAGCGCATGACACTTGGTGTTAATATCAGGCATGTTTTCAGCCATATGTATTAGAGGAAACACTTAATTTATGGACATTTAAGACTTGTTACATGTTGCAGTTCATTCTTTGAGGATGTTCCTCTCAGAAGAGGTTTTTTCCAGTTTACTCCTGCTGTTGTGGTCAGCGAACTTTATATCAGAGTCACGTTTTTAACCTCCTACTTGATATTGCTTTTTTCCTTCTCTTTTTTAAAGCAGTTAATCTCTTTTACCCCCTCAATGTTAAATGACATGTATAAGCGCTGCTGCTTTTGTTCCATAGCGGTTTTTTAATAAGAGTATGAGAACATTTCGACAGGGATGCTTTTGGATATGGGACACTAAATGTGCTACCTGCTTCTAGTTCATATGGATATGGGTTAATTACTTCACAATTGGACATGGATTATGGTTAATTGACATAAATTAGTAGATTGTGTTATGTATTGGTCATGTATCATTCAAGCTCTGTTTCTTCCATCTGATCTTCATGTTGATTGATTTTGAATTGTGTGTTTGGAGTGAGGTGGGAATATTATTACTTCCTTAGGAATACTTTATTCATGTTAAAACTGTTCTAGAATCTCCTTACGTGAAAATTCTTCTGGATTGTTGATTGCTAGAATTTCTTACTAAAAACGTAATTGCTTTCCGTTCAAGAAAACGTAATTGCTTTTATGTACTCTAACAAGGAAAAGAAGACAGTGGTCTTTCCCATAGGTTACTGTTATTTTTTGTACTGTTTATGTATTTCTCAGTCCATATAAGGCTTCATTTTGAGTTATTCCCCTTTATTTTTTCCAATCCTTCCTAAAATGGAGCTCAAGCTTCAAGCGCTGAGTGTGCTGAAATATCTATTTTCTAAAATTTGGAATTTCTTGAAGTTCATGTGTTTTCTGTAATAGAATCGTGTTTCTACTATTACGTAACTATTATAAAGCTATAATTACTGATAAGTATATATTATTAATTTAGGCAATAGTGCTTCCAATTAATCAACTCAGATGAAAAAAAAAATGTATTTGTATGGTGCCTTTCTTGTCCTACTGCTAAGGATGTCATTGCATTGGGTTTAGCTGAGCCATGTCTTTGGTCTGGGTGTTAGACTGTGCTCCTCTACTCAAGTGCGGTTATTTGGGCGCAGATAATTTTGTCCTTGGATGTAGTGTTTTAATACTTTTGCAAGTGGGGATGGCTAGTAAAATAATATGAAATTTCTGTCACCTGCTTTTGTTGGGGTTCATATATGAGTTTGTCCCCCCCCCCCCAAAAAAAAAAAAAAGAGTTTGCTGGAGCTCTTTATGCTTTTGTTTGGAGAACACTGATAAATGATGATAAAGTGGATATACATTTTTCGTTAAAACAGAGGCCATGTGAAGGAGGGCAATATTATGTTGAGATGGTAATTCTGCTTAACAAGACAAATTGATATATTATTTCCCATGCTTTTGCTAAATGTTAATTTCATATACACCTGCATTCATGCTATTTGACATAGCAGTAGGATTTGGCCACTGAAATTGCTTGCATTTAGCAGTTAAAAATGGAGAAATGGAGTTCCCGCGTACCTAAACAGAAAAAATTTGTAACTAGAATGAAAAGATTATGTTTCAGTGGGACATTTTCTGACCTTATGAATATGTTTTTCATTGTGCAGAATCCGGGTTTTGACTTCTCACAAGCTCAGTTTACTGGAAACTGCCCTGATCCGAGGACCTTCATGGGTGGAATACGATCTGGTTGATGCTCTTCGCTGCATTAATTATGGTAATTCCATTTGTCTTTACCCGTTCAGACTCATATTGGCTTAATGCATACTTTCTAATGAATGACAGAACATCAGCATTATACTTGGATGGCCAGTGTGTACCCCTAACCATTTGAAACTTTTAAGTAAATGTTGTATAAAAGTTAAATGAAGATAATCGTGAGCGAACTAAAAATTATTATCGGACACGTTTGGGATATTCTTGTAGATTTATTTTATATTGAATTAATATATTTAATTTGTAAGATGATCTGGGAATCACTATGCTTTTAGTAAATGGAGGCGCCGAAAAGGAGGAAAATAAAAAGAAAAATTCTAAGCCATCAAATTGGGACTAGAATCAGATTCACGGTGCATTATACGCGGACACACGAGTGGCCACCTTTTCTTCGCGTCCAGATATTGGAGAATTACATCCCAAGTGCGTTATGGAGCCAGCCATGTTAGTGGGACCATGCGTAGAAGAATTTAATTGAACGATGACCGACAGGATTTTAAGCTTTGTAATTGATCGCTTAAAGATAAGTAATATGCCCTCCGGCTATACCGGTGTAATTATTGCGTGAAGATTAGAGCACACGAATTAAACAAAAAGGCCAACCCACTTGTGCGGCTGAACTTGCCTCTTTTAAATTTAGTCATCTAAACCATTATCTGAGTTGATGTTAACTTCAAAACGTTATCTTTCAATTAAATTAATATATTTTGACAAAATTACAGGCCGTGAATGCTAGTTCGGAAGTATATGAATCAGTTTACCACGTTTTAGTTATTATCATCTAAGTGGTCCCATTGTGGAAATTTTAGTTTATTTAATTGATTTAATTGATGAATTAAGAATGACTCAATCAATTCGAATGATTTGTATGCCATGAGGTTATGCTTAATGGGTTATTTGTTCATTTGACTACTTTGTTTTGGCTGTAGTTTTAACATTTATATCTAATATCTGTGTCTATCAGAGCAGTGAAACTGGTTTTGTGTCTATATATTTATAATTATAAAACGTAGTAGTGATCACATTATTCATAAATTTCTATCTTAGATTCCGCATAACACCTATTTACTTGATTATTTTGCATATATATCTAATTCTTTCAGAGGTCTGCGCGATAAAATTGAATAAGTAGGAGGGAAGAAATGTGACTTATAAAAAAAAAAAAAAGGAGGGAAGAAGTGATGGATCCCTGCTATCAAAAAGCCAAAAAAAAAACAACCGATAGATCCCAAACGGGGTTTGGATATATTTTTTTTTCCCCAAAATGTCAGTAACAATATCCTTAATTGCCTAACACATCAATGCCAGTCGACATTTATTTATGAATGAATTTGGTATTCTTAAATTATGAATAATATCAATTGTATTGGTGAAATGAGAAAAAATAATTATAGTCACTTTTGCAGTTTTGCCACGGCATAATCTACCATGGAATACCATCATAGAGAAAGAAGCAGGGGGGAAAAACATTATATCCTTATATAGAGGGGTATATATAGTGCATTAAATATTGACATATCCACCTCCACAGAAAAGAGTTTGAAAATCCACTCGTCCCAAGTGTTTTCTTGTCATCATTCACCCTTTTGACGATTGTATTTTTTTTCCCCAAATTACGTTATAATAATTCAAACTTGCTTATTATTTGCATTTTACCTCATCCTCATCTCAAATCATTGGTAGTTCTTACTTTTTATTGACTTCCGTTCCAATTTTTTTTGGAACATGTCCTTAATAAATTTTTAATACAACAGCTAATAATAATACTCTGGCAAAAAATAACAGTTAATAATACAATAATACCCGAAAAATTCATTTTTTTTAAAACTTTTTTTTACAACTATCTGATACTAGAAGAAAAATATAAATTTTAGCATTGTCAAGCTATTTATAGAAGAAGGTAGCTCTTCTATACTGTTCTTTTAATTGTATGGCTCAAAACTTTCAATTTCTGAAGGCCGAAAAACAACATCTTTTCATTTTATTTATTTTTTATTTTATTTTATTATAAACGTGTATATTTGTTTTGGAAATTTGTTTTTTGTTTGAAAGTTCATTTTCTTATTTTTGAGATGAAAAGAAGATAGATGGTAAAAAAGCAAATAAAAGAAAATGAAAAAGACCGACGAATCCCGGCTCGCGCGGCGGCTCAGAATTTATTTAATTATTTTTTAAAAAGAATTGCTGCCTGCTCGCGCCGTTGCCACCCCAAACTAATTCTGGCGCGCGTCGTCTTCGTCTACGCCCACATTGACGTTCTTCCAATTTTTTTCTGAATCTCGGAGAATCTTTCTTCTCTTTCTATTCATAAATATCTCGTCTTCGAATTTTTTTCCTTTCATGCATTCTCGTAGATCTGAGCCTCCATTTTGGTCTCATCCATGACCGATATACTCTCCATCATTTTGTCCTCTGAATCGCTTTGCCCTCTTCACCTAGTTGCTCATGGTGAGAGACACCAAAGCGCCGCAAAACTCCAATCTCTGGGGCCTTATTGTGGGCAATTACTGCCATGACGTTCTCATACGCGATGGCCGCGTCGTCGGCGAGACTCTTGGTGGCGCCGCCTGTTTTATCTCTGCCGTCCTCGATGCTCTCTCCGTCTCCTTCCGATTGGTTTCGAAGGTCGGGTCGGACTTTGCTTACTCGACGAAACATGGCCCGATTTCGGTTCCTAATGTGAAAACCACTCTCTTCCACGCGTATTTCGACTCCGAGGTCGACGCAGCTGGGCACCAAGATCGGGTCCTGAGACGGGTATGTGCTTGCGACCCGATTCATCCATCGGATCTTCCTGTGGCCGCGGCGTTCCAATTTGGAATGGCCGTCGGGGTGGGTGGGGAGATATTGCCGGAGACTCTGGAGAGACTTCTCGACGTCTGTAATATAGTTTTTGTTGATGTTCAGGCGCTGATTCGAACATTTGATGTTCGTGATGGAACCGTGAAGCTCGTTGGATTAAATGATAGTGGATTCTTCCACCTCCTGCCACGGATTGGGTTTCTGAAAGCATCATCTGATGAGGCGTTTTTCTTTGATTTGGATGAGGTGAGGCAACTGTGTTGTGTTGTAGTTACGTATGGGAAGAATGGGTGTAAGATATACTGGAAGGATGGAGAAATAGAAATTGCTCCATTTACAGCGAACCAGGTTGATCCGACTGGTGCAGGGGACAGTTTCTTAGGTGGCTTTGCTGCGGGGCTAGTTCAAGGTTTAGCTGTGCCTGATGCTGCATTACTAGGCAACTTCTTCGGTTCATTGACTGTGGCACAAGTGGGCCTACCAAAGCTTGACACGAGGTCATTTCAGGTTAATTTCCCATAATCCTTTCCTTCTAATGTTATATTGCTTCTGCTGTTACTGTGGGAATGGAACCCAGATAGATTGTCTTATCATGCAGTTGAGTTTAATGTTGGGAATACTAACTGCTAAGTAGAGTTGAATATACAGGGAGACAGACTATATACGGGCTTGAAATTTAATTATAATGTATGGTTTTAAAATATGGACCGCTTAAAAGCAGAATGACGCGGTTAAACTGCTGGTGAAATAATGTTTGACTTCCATTGGAGCTGGTTCTTTTCAGTTGTCCAATATATTGGCTCATTGAAGTTCTTGTAGTTTAACGTTATGGAGATCTTTGATGTTTAGTTGCATGGAATGCAATTCTTTGTCCCAGACTCGTTGACAATTGCACGCAGATTGTTTATGAATGGATACTTGGGGTTTGGGGATCCTTATTGCATGCATGTATGTTGAGTTTGAGAGATCATCTTAATCTTAGAATGCCGCCAATTTGACTCTCCATTTGGTTTCAAAACTTGATTTATCTACCGGCCATGCTGGTCTTTTTTAGGTCACTACACTAATCTCTCCTATGATTTGGTCAAATCACATCTGATAGTTCTCTTCTTTTGAAAATTACACTTGACCCCCTGATCATATGCTTGTGTTTTGCTGGATGCCGCATGTCATTTTAATTCGCGTTTTAGTTTGTTGTGCCTCTTTCATTCTCATATAACTTGGGGTAGGAGAATATTGTTTGACACATTGACATCTTGTCTGTTAGCAGAAGATATCACAAATGTAAGGATTTTCCTCTCATTTTGCTGCTGTAATTTTTTGGATCTCAGATGGTTAAGGATGAGATGCATAGAAGGATGCTGGACTTTCCATATCCAGAAAAAAATGAAGACGGGTTGACCTTGCGAAAGCCATTTGATCATCAACAATTCTATGCATCTCTTGATGCTGCCAGATCATTACTATTGTGTTAGGTTCAGGAATTGGGATGGAATCCACTCAACTCCCCTAAAGTGCTGAAGCACAATAACATCAACAAGAAGTTGCTGAATCCTGCCCATAAGGAACCCTGTGAACCATGAGATATGGGGATAACTGCTAAAGACTTGATTTATATAAAATAAATAAATAAATCAAGCTTGTATCAAATAAACGTGTTCGCATGTTCCACTCATTCTTTAATGAATTTTAATTCTTACATGCCTGTTTGTTTTGGTAAAACTTGCTATGGAATTTATCTGTTATATACACACACATATATTGATAAATATTTCACTTGAAAGTATTTCAATTGAATGTATATTTTAGAAGGACAGAAAATAAATATGTCTAAAACAGGAACTAGTTTCAGTGCTTATCGTAGTGATAAGTGTCACAATACTTATCAAATATCAACTGTTCAATTTTAATGTAAATGGTTGAGATTTTTTTAAAAATATTTTTTCTTAAAATATTTTTTTTCAACAAGTAGATAATCCAAAATAAATGTAATCTTTTACTTATATATTTTTTAAAAATAATTTTTTATTTAAAACTATTAGTTGAAAATTTTAAATTTAGACCATTTAAACTATATCTGAATAGTGTAGATTTCGCTATAATAATGAGACACTCGTCACTACAATGAGCAACGAATTCTGTCTAAAACATGAAAGATTAATTGGTTAAAAGGATATACTCTTCTGGTCTTATTTATAGGATAAAAAGAGAAGATCTTTTTTTTGTTCTATTTATAGGACACTAAGAAATTTTTTATACAATTTTATTCTTCATTTATTAATGTGTTAATATTGTTTACATGAGGTATAATGTATATTAAATATTAATAAAATTGGAAGGTTGTTAAATTTTAAATGAGAGTTAATAAAGTTTAAAAATTTTCTTAACCTATATAAAATATGTTAAAAGTGACTTATAAATAGAATCGAATGAATACATTTTAGAGTAAGAATGGATACTCAAAATAGCCATATAAAGAAGTTGGGTATCCTTCAAGAGGCTTGGAACATAAATATTTAAACATCTCAAAACTTAGTTATTTTGTTAACTTTTGGGCATTCTATGTTGACCATTTTACTCTAAAATTAGTATTTAAATGAAGTGATATTAACCTTTTCTCATCTTGAATTTTTTTTTTTTGAAAACAAGAGATCATGTGTACAAAAGCATAATAATTATGGATAAATTTTATGTAAGGTAGATTATCATTATCATTTTTCCCAAATATAATAATTTTTTTTAACCAGGCAAATATGATGAGTTAATAATGCAGGATAAGAGAGTTCACATAAAAATGTTTTTACCCATAAACTATCATTTGAATTAACTTATAAGTATAATGTCAGGCCAAAAAAATGTTAAAACAAAGATAATTCCTTTTCCCATAGAACGTTCAAACAAAAGAACTTCTCCATTTATTTCGCTTTGTCTTTCTTCATTACATTTCTGTCTTCTTTCTTTTTTGCCAGCGCTTTTCATTTCATTAATAGCTATCTTGTTTCATTCTATTACAATTTTCTAAACAAACCTTAAATACAAAAATGTCAATATTCAAGAAAGATAATTGGCCAAAATAAAAATATGTGGTTCAAGTAGGTTTATAGAAAAATGTAAAGGTGTTGGTGACTTGCAATCCAATCCCAAAGATATAAAATCTCAAGTTGTGTGTATTGTAAAAAAACTAAAAATAAGTTAAGAAAAATTACTAGATACTGTTAACTTATTCTACAACGACTTGTTAATTTCGGTAAATATCTATCACTATTCGTTATGAATATTCTTCGTTTACCTGAATAGGACATGAATATTCACCTGTGGTGATGTCATTAGGAAAAAAAAATCTTATACATCTAACGGTTTTTTTGGCTAATCTAATGGTTATTTACTTGTTTATTTAGTTCAGTTTATAGTCAAAATTTATAGTGCGTGATGTGAAAAAGTCAATTCCCTTGACCCTTGCTTAAATGATAAGTAAAATTAGATAAGTCCGGAGTCAATTAGATCTAAAGTAAAATTTCAAGTCGAAGGTCAAAAGAGGCCAGCGTAAGGATCCTCTCGATGGAGAAGAAAGAAAAACTCGCACTATGTTATAATGGGCGATCACAGAGAATCCTACGCTTTGCGATCCCAAGTTTTTCTCTTCTTTGAGGTCAAGTAAGAAGGCGCGAACTCCCTTGAAACGATTGAACTGATTCTGCAGAGTAGCTGATTGAAGATAGAGAAAGGTATTGAAAGTTCAACCTCCCAGCTTTGGAGCCGTTATTTTAATTTGATTGGAAGGATGCGTTTGGGGATCGCCAAATTACACGATATGGAAAGAGATTGGCATGATCAAGCCGTCATGGAATAATTATGGTATTCCCAAACGCGTTCTTAATGATCATTCATTATTAAGGGAGAATCTCCAAAAATGACATTTCACTAAATTTGTGTGAGAATGAATTCTCTCCCCAGCTTTCAACAAAGAATCCTCCATCTCTTTCGCTTCCACCTCCCCTGCAAAATCCCTCTATTCAAATTTCAGAAACCCTAAGTTTTCTAAGATTTTATCACCCAGTATGTGGAACCTTAATTCTTCTGAATCCTAGCAGGTTTTGTTCTTGTGTGTTTTTGGCGTAGATCTCCATGAAGAACACGAGGAAGAAGAAGAAGCGATCGTCGGCGCCCAAGGCCACCTGCAAAGGCGTTGTGGGGAGCAAGGATGACGGGAAAGTAGGAAGAGGGGGGTTTGAAGCAGAAGATGAGCAAAAGGTGCTGGAGATGTTGGTTGGGTCAATCTCCTTATCTTCTCCGGAGGAATCTGCTTTGGCATATAAAGATGCCGAGGCTGATCTCGACAAATCCGCTCAAATTCCGATGGGAAGCTTTGTGGACAATGTTAAGGATTCTTCCACTTGTTCTAGTTCTAGTGGATTTTCAGGTCTGGACTTGGCATCAACTTCGGGTTCGTCTGAAGGGTTTATGGAGTCAAATTATACGGATATGAGAAGTGCCAATGGATTTCGAAGGGGTAAGCAGAAGAAGAAGGTATCCGCAGCTATGGGTACTGTTTCCACGGTTTTGGGCAAGGATTATATGAGACGGAACTCGACTAGGCCCAGTGGATATCATAATAATAAAGCCGTTGAAAAGGCGGAGGTGGAGCAGTTTCTGTGCTCGATGCTGGGAAATAATTGTGACATCAGTTTGGCTGTTGTTAGAGACGTTCTATGTGAGTTATCATCTCTTTTATTACGGGATTATTTTTATCTTTATCGCATGACTGGAGGTTTCTCCGCCTTCTTTTTGCAGGTCAATGTGGATATAATGTCGATAAGGTATACTGGCGAATTTGAAGTCGTCACTTCACTCGCGTCCTCACCCTTTGGTGGTCATATTATGTTTTATTTTTTTGCACACATTTTAGTCTTTAGCATTTATAACTTTAATAAGCTAGGTGCAGTTATCTGTTGCAGTGTGGATATCTGCCTATCAAGAAAAGAGCTTGTAGTAACTGGAATTCTGTATATTGTAGTTTATTATTTTTTGGTTTTTAGTTTTACTGATAATGTTGGATATAAATTATACTTTTGTTAGTCTTTTTCTTTTTTCTTTTATGGGTTGCGGCAGAATCATTATGGACTTTGACTTCTGTTGATATATGCATGTGTTATTCGAGGACGCTTCTTCAGTTCCATGCACTTTAGGTCATATCTTCTATGTTTATTGATGGTAGTGGACGGTTTTCGTGGAGACTTGTTTTGCAACTTAACTGTTTGAATTCTTCGCCGATTAATTGTATTCGCTACTTTTATAGTATGAAGATTGAATTATGATTTTTCAGGCCCTGGGCGTGTTGCTTGAAATGTCTATGCCTTCCCATCAACAATCCGAGAATCATAGACATCCTGATGGCACAACTGATAATATTGATGATGTCGGGTTTCCTGCTTACTATGACAATGTAAATATAGATCTTTCTTGTAATATTATTATTTGTTTATCTTTTGTTGCTCTCTTGTTGAAATACATTTCGTTTGTGCCTGTGCATGCACACATACACGTATATGTATACACGCAGTTGCAGAGTGTCTCCACGCTATATGTATATGGTATTTTATGCCTCGGCATGCTATAGCATGGTATTCAAGTTACTATAGGATTTGAAATACTTGTGTACCAAACAAATCCCCATGACTGTTCCATATGGCATACACAGTTCATATTACCCATCCATTCATTTGTTATAGAGTTGCAAATTATGAGGCTGTTCCATACTGTGCATAATATTCATTGACATCTTACTTATCACAGCTGGTAGATGGTAGATCGGAGTGCACATCGTTTTCATCAGAAGGTGAATTTTCTGACAATTTGTGGTCCCTGGGATCTTTTCACAGGTAAATGATATAAGTCTGTTTGCTTCCGCCTATTTATATGTTTCACCATACACTGTAATAGAGATGTAATGGTTGGTTTATTTTTTGTCTCTTGAATTGAATTATATGACATTTGTGTGTGTGTGTGTAATTGATTTTGCCATGTGTTATAGATACACATAATGAATATTTATATGTTATAGTAGATGTCATTTCACCTGGTCTACTAATGTGTACCCTCTTGCTTACCTATTTCTACCAACATGCAAGTGAATCTCTAACTCCTTCTGATCAAGGATTTTAGTATTTGCAAAAATTGCAAGCTGTTTCGTTAGCTTAGCTGTTTCTCGATTTTAGGAATTATGCAGAGGTTCTCTCTGGTTCTAAAGCTAAATATGATAATAGCTTTGGAAATTTAAAGTCAGATCTTCCTCAGAAGGTGTTGGAATCTCTGTTTGACATTCACAAAAGTACTGAACATGACAAAGATGTCATAAACTGGAGAAATGTTGCAAAGAAAATGCGGTCTTTGGCGCCTCAATTTAATGCTTCTTCTGGTGTTGCCGAATCTGAGCAACATAGTTATGGTAGGTGAACATATCATACATCACTTTTTCTTTGTTTCTTAGACCGTATCCTTTGGTTCTCTTTTCCTGTCTTTTTAAAATTCAACCTCAGTGATCTGATCTTCAACCTTTTGCAAACCTATTTTCCCCTTTTCCATGTATTTCATGCTCTCCTGAAATGGATACTTCTGAATGGTATCCTAGAATGTTGCTTTGTCATTTCACGAAATCTGCAAAGCTTGGTTGATCATATCTTGCATTCTTATGCAGGAGAAATAGCTTCATGGTTGTTTTCTACTAAACAGCCCTTTATAAGAAAGTTTTACCCTGGTTGAAGTAGTTGCTTTGATAAACTAGCCAGAGTTGTGTGGTTACTAACAATGCCTATCACTCAAATATAACACAACTGGCTATTTGCTATTTCTCTTTCTGTCTCATTTTGTGGCACATCACATCCTGATTTTGCTTTATTTTTCTCATCATATTCTTTAGAGCATATCTGCATAGGGCTATATATTTCTCTATATTTATATTTCCCAAGTCCAACTTCTGCATGCCTTAAAGGCAAGAAGACACCAGTGTCAATTAGTTAACGATGGTTGGTGGCCTGAATCTGAATAAAGCACTACTCCCCCAATGTGTGTGCATGAATGTGTTTATTATATTTTAATAATTGATTGAAGATCTCGTTGCATTTGCCCATTGATCTAGCAATTGTTTGCTTTTTTGTTTGTCTTGCTTCTCAGTATTCATTCTAATGGATTTCCATGTGCTGCGGTTGGTTGATACTTTTGTCCATCTACAGAAAGCAAATTAATTATCTGCCTAGATGAACTGCATTCTTTTAGCTCGCTCACCAATTACACTTTTTATGATCTTGTTGTACATTATCTTTTCTTTTTGTTTGGTTTAATTTGGAGATTTCGTTGATGCTATCCCCTCATATTAGTTTATTTAATTGATTAACTTTCTGTTTTTGCAGCTAAAGGAGATGACTATTATGTGTTTAGGGAAGATGCAAAGCAGCACTGGGATTCAATGAGATCTTATTATCAGAAAGTAAATTCAGATTTGACCTTTAATCTAACTTCCCAATCTCTAAGCTGATAGCTTTAGAGCTAAGATGTTATTTTAGAAACGCAAGATGGCTAACATTACTTTGCAGGCTACAGCTGCATACACCAAAAAAGATCGAGCACATGCAGCATATCTTTCTGACCAGGTTTGACTTTAGGAATTTATTTTATTAAATTTGAATGTGTGCACTTTATTTTGTATGCATGCTTGTTGGGATTATTGTGCATAAGGTGTCTCATTTCTGGTGTAGCTATTAAATTTGGTGGACTGATATCCCCAAACAAAGAAGAAATATACTTTATACAATTTCAATTGACCACATAATTTGTTTTAGGCTTTGTACATTTTTCTGCTTGGGTGTGGAAAAGAGATCAAAATATGTGTATGCCTTATCAATTCTTTTCCAGGATCTATATGTTTTATGGAAAGGACACTTTCAGAATGGATTTTTGGGTTCTTTTGGGGTAATTGGTGGGACTTGAGCTGCTTTTGCTGCTGTCATTTATCTGTTAGCTACCTTTAAGATTACTGGTATCAATTTGCTTGGAACGCCTTGTTATAAAGTATCAACAATATCTTCATTTTACTAGGGAAAAGAACAAAGGAACTTGGCTCAGAAGGCAGATGCAAAGGCAAGCCATGACATATTTATGGCCAGGTCAGCGAGAAGCTTTTAGGAGCAAAGTAATTGTTCTTTTTTCACGTTCACCTATTAAGCCATTGTTTGTGATTTGCAGAAACAAGGATATAGAAAATGTCATAACTATTGATTTGCATGGGCAGCATGTCAAACCAGCAATGAGAATGCTTAAACTACACCTCCTATTTGGATCTTTTGTTCCCTGTAAGCATTGGCTACACCCTTGGAAGGCTGCTTTCTTTATGATTTCACTAAACTGGCTTTGTCTGGATGAATAGAGTTCTTATTTTGTTTTCGGTATCTAATTACCTTTTAATATCTGCTTCAGCTGTCCAGACACTAAGGGTTATCACAGGATGTGGATCACATGGTGTGGGAAAGTCGAAGCTGAAACAATCAGTATGGTTTAAACCTATCTCCTGAGATAACAATTAAGACAAATTGTCCAATATGCATTATGCTTTCGTCATATGCCAGCTTTATATTCATGAACTTGGTTTTTAAGTTTATGCATCTCTTCTTGTCGTTTGCTTGAGCTTCAAGTAGTTGATTGCCTTCTCTGATCCTTTACTTCGCCTGTACCTATCTTTAGTATTTACATAAGGCTAAGATCGCTGGTTTATATAATCCACAAGGCCCTAGTTTCTTGTAGAAATTCCATCCCAAAGTTGGTTGCTTTGCTTGGGTTTCTTGATTCTTTTTTGAATATTCTAGTCTCCCAGATCAGAGAATTATTGTTTGGATTCCGCTGAATTTTCCCTTGCGAATATTTCCTCTGGCACCTGCTTCAGATCTGAACAGGGTACCGGTTTCCTTGATGACTTGATGTTGCAGACTTTAGGTCTTCCTCAATAAATTTGATATTTACTTGAATTGGGGTATTGAATCAGTTTAACACATACTACAACACTAAGAAGCCTTATTCCATTGAATGAGGTCAATTAGATAAATCACAAGATGCCTTGGAGGTCTATTAACAATTAGTTGTTTGGAAATATCATTCACTGTAAGATCTTGTTCGATAACTTCCCTAGGCATCCTTTTTGGTCTTCCCGTATGTCTTTTCATACAACTAAAAGTCATGTGTTTAGCTGTTCCCTCTGACGCCTCTAGTAATCTTTTTTGCATATATCAATACTATTTTAATTAACGTTCTTCTCATTTTCTTCTCAAGGGGTGCCTCATGTAGAATTATTTTGGATCTTGCCTTATTTTTATGATCAGGCATCTATTCTAACACTCTCACTTATGGTATCTTTGTTTATGGTTTCATGTTAACATTGACTCTATGTCATTCTATTTGGATTGATCTCGGTTGTCTTTGCATTGATTAATGCATGAAGCAAACCAGAAACTTTTGGATTGGGCCCGTATGAGCTTCTGGTCCATGGGGTGACTCGTGTGATTGACTCGTTATAAATCCTTATGAATTTGAAACTTTTTATCCTTGTGTATTTAAGTCGAAACTCCTTGGCTGTTTGGTCGTTCATCATAGTCTACTTAATGTAGGTTGTAAAGCTTCTGGAAAAGGAGAATATTGAATGGCATGAAGAGAATCGGGGGACTGTGATTGTCAAACTTAGTGGATCCAGAGAGTTCAGTTTTCTGGACTCTGACACTGATAGTGATTGCAATTAAATTATTGTATCAAGGTACTATAGGAATATCAGTTTGTAACGGGTAAGATAATTTCGAAGGCTAACAATTTCTCTAGACACAGACTATGCTAGCGCAGCTTTTGGTTCTTACTGTTAGTGGCTCTGAGGGGGTGGAAAATTTGGGGTGTGCTCTGCACAGAACCTATAATTCCATTGATAAGGCTTGGTTTAAGATATTACCGCAGTTGTACATACGTCCATGTAACAGCTATTTCTAACTTGCAATGAAGTCTTGAATTATTTCCTCTTACATTTTGTTTTTGGGTGATGAATTTCGATGAACTCTTTCTGCCGGCCCCTTTGATTATCTGTCCTAGACTTCAGGATTCCCTCATTGGAAGGGATGGGCACCAGCTACACATCTTCAAAACGGCGCCGCTTTGTGTTTAAAGACACAATCATGGCTTTTCAATTCAGAGCGATGACGACTACTCAATATCTCTACTTGCTGTCTTTTCTCTTCAGCTTTTTCCTTAGAAGCCTCAGCCTTATTACCTATTCTTCTCGTCTGTCTCGACTTTTCCGTCAACAGTGGACCCATTAGCTTCCTGAACTAATTCTACCACTTATTCAAGCTCCGTTCTCCGGGGAGTTTCTTCTAATTTAGGCCATCTCAAGCAACTTCAGAACGTGAGATGAACAACCAAGTATTCAGCTTCCAAGAATAGTGGATGAATTGTTCAGCCGATCAAGAAACTCCGAATGTGAAATGATTTGCATTCGGTCGAGACGTTGTCAACTGGCCGTCGCTCAACTATCTAGGTTCTCCATCGCTCAGCCTTCAGAACCCTGCAGTTGGAGGAATCAGATCTGGGACTTTGGGGAAGACAAAAGAGGTCTGGAAGTGAAAGAGGGATTGCTTTATCATGAACGACTAAAGAGATCTGAAATTGGAAGAGGGATTGCTATATCATGAATGACCATATTTTTTGAATTAAAGGGTAAATATTAAACGACCATAATCACTCAACATTGGTCGTGTCTTAAAGCACATAGTTGTTCTAAGGAGGAGCAGCTAGCATGGGATATAGGCTTGCGTAAGAGTATTTTTTTTAAGTAATTATAGGGGTTCTGAACCCCCACTAAAATTGATTGAGTTCTTTTTTTTTTTTTTATCAAACCCATCAATAAATACAGTTAACAAGACCAATAGCGAATATCAAAGCCTCGCATGCTATATATACATATATTCCTATATGCTCTAATTGTCTTCTTGAATTGATTTCGATCTTAAATGTAATATTTATTTTTTATATTTATTAATTTTTTTAAAATTATTCTTATGAATATTTTCTGAACTATAATCAAGTAGGAAGAGGAGGGAGGATATTAAGAAGATGATTATAGTGTCTTAAAAAAAATATATCATATTTCTTACAATTAACTAACTTATCTAATTTTTTTAATCTAATCAAATTAATTAAATAGGTTTTGTATTAAGGATAAAAGGGTGTGTATATAAAATATGTATGCATGCATGCATTGTGTGTGGGTCTGCATGTATACATAGGTTACATTTATGAACTTATAATTTTAACTAATGTAAGTCTGTTAAGTAATTAGGTTATAAACAAATATTAAATTAGATTATATGCTGATTGCCTTTAGTAACTTTAGTTTTGATAGTTTCAAGATTCAACGCGTAAAAAAAAAAAAAATAGTCTGCTATTAGAAAGAAGTATTATGAAATACTCCTCAGTCCTTGATATAATCATTGAGTTGATAGTGATCCTAAATGTAAGACTTATTTTTCATATTTATCAATTTTTTTAAAATTATTTCTATTAATATTTCGTCAATCATAATCAAGTAGGACAGGAAAAGATATTAAAAAAAGATGATTATAGTGTTTTAAAAAAATGTTATATTTTTTATAACTTACTAATTTACTTAATTTTTTTAATTTAATCAAATTAGTTAAATAAATCTTACATTAAGGATAGAACAGTATTAAACAAGTTTTGATCGAATGATGCTATATTTGTCTTTGAAGTCGAAGTCTTCAAGTGTCTTTTTTAATATAAAGAGTTAGATAACCAATTTGTAGATATTAAAAAATTAGTTAAATTAGTTATTTATAATAAATGGATATTGTCTTTTTTAAAATATTTCTATTAATCATATGTATTGAAACTACTTTGACGGACACTCCCTAACATGTGTAATTGCTATGTGAATTGTTTAGAAGTAAAAAGAATAAATATTAAAGACAAAGTGAATTGATACCTTATTTTTAGCATTAAATTGAATATTCAATTAGCTCTTATTCAGCAAAATTTAAGCATATGGTTAAAAATTTTAAAAAAAATTTTGCCAAAAAATCTAATTCTTAGCATTTTTTATATTAAAAAAAATCAAGAGTAGCCTTTTCTTTCAAATGGAGAATACTCCTAGTGTTATTAAAATTTTTAATATAGATTAAATTTTAGATTTTAAATTCGCTCAAGTTTATAATTTTTACGTGAAATTATATTTTATATGATATGAGTTTTCTTTTTAATTTTTTTTATAGGCACGGGTACCTCCTATTAAAAACAATCACATTTGAAGTATTGTTGGGCACTTAATACACCTCTTTCAGATAAGATTCAAATTATAGCTTACCATATTACGGGAGACTAATCGATTTCGCTCTGCCCAGTCCGTGTTTGGTGAATGCCAACAAAGTTTTAGGCTTCAAAACGTTTTAAAAAAAACATACTCAAGCAAAATAAATGTCTTTTTGGGGCCATAATAGTGGACTCAATAAGGCGGAGATGGAAATGGCCCAAAACAAAAGTAAGTTACTCATCTAGTAGAACTGAACCTAATAAATATCTCGGCCTTTCACCAATAAAAGAAAAAAGAAAAGAAAATATCTTTGCCTCAATAATAGCAAAATTGATGCGGAAGGTATTTTATTTATTTGGGATTTGGGACCAGGTAACGGTCCAATTGCTGTCAGCCGAATGATTACTTCCAACAATAACCCGAACTGTTATTGGGCCGTCGCCATTCATGGTCACAGCCAGCAAACATTTAGCATAAAAGCCTTCGTGTTGATCTATTAGTCATTGACTCCAAACGCAAAGACGGCAAAGTCCTCTCTCTTGCCGCAAATTATATATAATTTGCCTCGCGAGCGACCTCTACGAAGTCGCAGGACATTTTGGAGAGAAACAGAGAGCGGTAGAGGGCGAAGCAAGCGCATGTGTAACCGTACTTGATACTTCATCGCTGTTTGGTGGCGGCGGCGGCGACGACCATGGACCAACCCGCGGCAAAAAAGCAGGACAAGCTCATCACCATATTGAAGAGTCTCGGAGCGAAGGACGAAGGCGGAGACGGCGATGACGGCGATTCCGCCGATGGCGAACAATGTGATGCGGAGGTTTGGGACAAGCTCACCCGGAGTTTCCATCAGGCGCAATCGGTGCTCGATCAGAACCGTGCCTTGATCCAACAGGTGAACGAAAACCATCGATCCAAGATCCCGGACAACCTCGTGAAGAACGTTGCTCTAATTGGCCAGCTTAATGGTAACATCTCCAAGGTTCTGTCTATTTACTCTGATTTATCAATCGATTTCTCAAACATTGTTCATCAGCGGCGGCGGCGGCGGGCTACCACGGTCTCTACCGAGGACGGCAAGGATTAAACATTTACAATAAGGTGGTGAAAAGCGCGCCTAGGAGAAATTGCAGTAATTCTTTGTTACTTTTGTCTTTTGAGCTTTGATTTTTCTTACTTTGTCATCCAGGATGTCTTTGTGCGTATACTCATTTGATGTAGGAGTTGTTTGGTAATGTGTCAGTCAGGGTGTCATTATTTGACATTGTTTGAAATAATAGATTGACTGGTCATTATCGAAGTAGAAGTTGTTTCGTGTATTTGATGATGGTATGCCTGGATATGAAGAACCGCGCTTATTCTGTGCTCTGTTATGTTGTTTTCTTTGTTATAAGGATGTTTCAAGGTTGCAGGACTGCATTTCTACATTATCCACCTGCAGATATGAGGTATTTATGTTATGTTTCTCTTTTTCTTTGCTCATTTTGCTTGATATAACTGGCTGGTTGATTTTACGTGAATAAACGGTTCAAGAGGTAGGAGGGGCATTACTGTACGGGAAATTAATACATTCTATTTACAAGGAGGCTTAGCTGAGCTGAATAGTTTTTCTTTAATTTTTACCTGTCCCTGTGAGACCCTTATTGTTTAGTCGGGGATTTGGACACTGAGTAGCGCCATACGATACTGCTAATTTTTTTGTAATTCCTTTCTTATATTCTGATCACCTTTTTATACTCTGCTGTTAATACATGTGTTACTCAGTTTTACCCTTGAAGTTATTGCTATGCTTTTAACTAGAAGTGGACGCTGCAATAATCGTAAAAGAAACTCAAAATTGACATGGTACTAAGTTCTGTTACTGCTCCTGTAGCTTTTATAAATATATTGATTCCATTGACAATTTGTTTGTATTGTTCATACTTCATATCACAATTGATGGAATCGTTGTGACAGCTTGGAGATGTTGAATAAATATTTCGTGTGTGATTTGACTGATGGTTCTTCAAGTTTCTTCTCTATATTCTCCGTGATCTATGAATCTAGTTTAGAACTACGGACAGAAGATCAGAAACTACGAAACAGTAGCCAGGGATATCAGGTATGATTTACGGGGCTGATCTTCGAAGGATACTTTTTGTGTTTGGTTGACTGGAACCCTTCCTTTACCTACAGCCGAACACTTAAACTACTAGGAGGAACTTGTGCATTTTTAAAGCCCTACCTTTTTGGAGGAGCTTTCTTTTGTTGAGGTTGCTTTTGGCAGTCGATGCTTGACAATGAAAAATTGAAAATAGATGAAGTGGTCATCTTCTCTTGGACTTCAGATGAGTCACCATTTAGGAGGAGCCGTGATCTATGCTTTTGCTTCTTTTATCAGAACAATACTTTGAGCGAAGGCGATTGAAAATTGAATAAAACTAATTGAAACGTATCGAAAGCAACCAGATAAATTATATGTTTGGTTTCACATTTGAAATTACCAAAATTATTTGGTGGTTTCTGAGCAGTGTCAGCTAGTGGACTTTGCTGTTAGATGATTCTTTAGCTACTAGTTCTTCATAATAAATCTATGCCCTTCTCTAGATATTGAAGGGTTCTCCTTTGAAGATGGTAAGAAGTCTTGAAGTTAGGCTTCCATGTCTGGGGCTCTAGGGTCAGATCCTTTGTCTCTTCAGAAGGATGATTTCTCTCTTTTCCAGGGCATAACGATTTGATGCTTTTGTTACTTTGTAATGGAATTTCTTTCTTGTTCAACTATTGAGTTTTGGTATATCTGATCCGACTTCAACTGATATACTAAATGTTCCGCTCATACTATATAATTGGTTTTGGTGGGCCCTTTGTTTCGTTTCTTTTTCGGTTATTGAAAACAATGTTCCTTTTGCATTACGACTCTGAAGGCCTTTTTTTCCCCCTCTCATTTTGATTTTGCCCCTGCAGTTCATTAAATTCTGCTTGAGCTTCTATAGTTTTACCTTCATGTTTCCGTCAGCGTAGTCACAATTGAAAATTTGGAGAAATTATAAAAAGACGGAATTGAAGTATGAACAAAATATAACGATGAAACGTAGAAATTTTGGGCCCATGTGATTCCTCATAGGAAAAGGAAATAAGAAAACTTGTCTAATGTCAAAATTTGTTTGGTGTACTTCATGCTTAGCCATCAATAAATAGAAAGGGCATGGCGATAGTTTCCATGTGGCTTGGCACCAATAGTCTGGTGTGAAACGATGAATTGCCAAACATGCCCTTCATTGCACAAATGTAAAAGCTTTTAGCCTTAATTCATAAATACTACATTTATACTACATTTAGTTTTTAATATAAAAATTAGTTTCTTACCTTAATTCATTTTATCTTTCATATTTATTTATTTTATTTTAAGGTTATCCTTGTAACCATTACATATTTAAAAATTTTATCAAATGATAATTATAATTAAAACCATGGTTAGCGAGAGTATTTGGAAAAAAAAACTATCTATTTATTATAAATAATTAATTTAACTAATTTTTTTAACCTACTCAATTAATTAAATAAATTTTATATTAACAACTGAAAATAGTTGAGTGACATTATTATACTTTGATGATTTGCTGGATGTGCAGCATGACTCCAGCTAGGATGCTTCTTGCAATAGCACATAAATACTACATTTAGTTTTTAATATAAAAATTAGTTTTTATCTTAATTCATTTTATCTTTCATATTTATTTATTTATTTTAAGGTTATCCTTGTAACCATTACATATATTAAAAATTTTATCAAATGATAATTATAATTAAAACACATGGTTAGCGAGAGTATTTGGAAAAAAAAAACACTATCTATTTATTATAAATAATTAATTTAACTAATTTTTTAACCTACTCAAATTAATTAAATAATTTTATACAACTGAAAATAGTATTTCTTAACCTTCCTCCAACTTGTGATATCTCCGTATAATTACCGAATTGATGTGAACATCATTTGAAATTAGTTCAAGCACAGAGAAAATGGTAACACTATGAGCCAACAAATTCACTCATCCCTCTCCCTAAACACGCGGCTGATCACAAAAGGAAACAGCTTCACAATAGCACATACCCGATGTTTCAACATCCTTTTATTACGTTATTCGCCATATATGGTATTCATATTAATCGTATACTGATTATTGCGTTATTCGCAATGGATAGATGAACTTCAGATTCTGATGCCAATCGTATACCAGGGATTCTATTCGTTCACACTAACACTAAAAGTTTCATGACTTGGATGCATACTGATATCAAGTGTGTTTAAAATAAAATTTATAAAAGATCGTAATATTCACGTGCCATAAATATGACTCCATTTGATGGAAGAAAAAAAAACTATCTAATTTCCAACAAATAAATTGTACAAATTCAATCGGTATATTCCTTCAACTTCGAAAACAAGTGTTAATAAATCAAATAATGTTTTCGGAGAGAGAGAGAGATCAAATAATGTTACCCGATAGGGAAAACTATTTTTTGGTTCCAAAACCCCAACTAAGAACGAACTTCTCCGTTGAGAATCAAAATAAAATTTAAAATTTAATCAAATAGAAACTGCTCAAGATATACGATGCGACGTCAATCACTAAAATGCAATGCATTTGCCTACTGAAAGAAGGCATGCACTGCTTAACACGGAGGCCTCGTCCCACTTCGAGTTCATAAAAGCCGCTCTTTGTTTGGTCATTTCATAAGTTTAAGACCTTTTTACTGAGACCCCATTTGGTAGAGCAATGAAAATCCACTATAAACACGTTTCACGTAAGTTAAGACAAAACTCCTCTCACATACTTATCTTGTATTCCGTAAATCACTGTTGAAAAACAACTTATAAGTTCCAAACGGGTCCTGAGTCTATTTCACAATCACTGATCTACTAATAGTTTACTACATGTTTATAAATGTCTCGTAGATGCAGTAGTAAAGGAAAAAGGATCATTTTGGAGAGATGCTGATTGAAACATAGAAAGTGCATGCATTTATAATGGGAGTTCACCGCTATCAGCAATTACGACCTTGCTCTTGGGAGTGCCACTTTGCCTTCCTTCAGCCTCGATCTTGTAAACCACATCCATTCCAGAAATCACTTTTCCAAACACGACGTGCCTTCCATCCAACCTTTTTATTTATCAAACAGGAACTTCCATTAGTAAGGAGTTTCTCACCTCATGGCAGTATTGTAGAATGAATCACATGCTTATCCATGAACGCCTAAACATCTACTCCATTTATCTAAAGACCACATTACAAAACCATGCAGAGAAAGACAAGCCATTGCTGATTTCTTGCAACTTCAATTCTGAGTTTTCATGCACCAATGTCGTTGCCGTGATTGTTCTTTTTGGACAACAAAATTGAGACCGTAAACACAAAAAATACTACATTTGTTATTTGTTTCCTTCTGCAACAAGTTCTCAATGGAGAGGAAATTACCAGCTAGTTGTCACCGTTGTGATGAAGAATTGCGAACCATTGGTATCAGGACCAGCGTTTGCCATTGATAGAAGTCCTGTTCCCGCAGAAGATAACATTAACTTTGCCCCGCCAAAAACTGCATGACATCTATGAAAGCATAACCACTAGAACAACAGTAATAGGTACCTGGTCCGGTGTGCAGCTTGAAGTTCTCATCAGCAAACTTCTCTCCATAGATTGACTCACCGCCCATTCCATTGCCGTGGGTAAAATCACCTCCTTGGATCATGAAGCTAGGAATAATCCTGTGGAATGTGCTGCCCTTGTAATGGAGAGGTTTCCAATTTTCCAGTTCCTTTCTCCCCTAATAATTGGAAGTTGGACCAGGCAGCAGAAGCAAACTATGAAAATATCTTGAACACAAACACATAAATTTAAACCATTGATATCATTTTGTAATAGTATTGATATTAATGTTAGGGGGTGGGGATGGCGTTTTGCTAATTAGATTCAAGGGTTATCAGAAAGAAGCATCTCAGCAGCAGTGGGTTCTTAGATTAACGTGTGTATAATGATTTATAAATTCATGTCTGTGACACAGTAAAAGATGAAGCTGTAAAAACAGGCTTAAAATATATTCTGTAAATTCAATGACAAAAGACAGCAGAAACTGGTTACTGTGCAAAGAGCTCGAAAGTTTTCTGCAAAAGGAAGGTCAAAACAAGGTTTCAGTTAATGGAAACAATGATGAGACAAAGATGCAGAGATTTTGGACAAGCATACCTGCAGTTTTTGGAACTGTCTTCCCATAAAGACCGATTACAACACGACCTGAAAGTATCACAGCATAAATCCAAATAGTAACAATCTAATACCAAAAATTTGAGAAGCAAAACAATACACCATCCAGTAACACTAATTTCTATATCTGTAACGATATATTCATTGAAAATTCATATGCTACAGGTAGTGACATTTGGGTTCATACGCTAACAGGGCTGCAGCTGAGTTCTGCCACGAGTCAGCCAAACTATCTTAAAGCAAAGTAGGGAATTTCATCTGCTTTTTAATGGAAGAGGAGGTTCCACTTAAGAGTGGCCGTGCTTGTTTCCCGGTCAGTGCCAATTAATTGTGTATTGATTCACTAGAATTTAAAAGATATTTTCGTCCAGAATTCCCAAATTCCTAAATACATATATTCACATGCTGGCAGGCTAAGCTGAAAATCTCCAAAACAGAAACAAAATAAGATTAACTTCTTTTTTCACCAGGGTTTGAAGCAGCTACAGAATACTAATACCACTGAAACCTCATTTTTGTTCATCATAGCTAGGATTTTTTTTATTTTTTTTTAATTTAGTCCCGTCTAAAATTATTTTCTCAATTCAGTTCTTCATAAATGAACCTGTCACCAGTAATGTCCTACGAAGAACGTGATTGATAACTTTCCCCAAAAAAAGGGCCATATGTTGTGATCTCATCTATGTTGATTTTATTCATTGCTATTACATTCGTGATGGACCAGTTTGAGATATATCCTTTCTAAGACGAAAAATCAATTATATATGGAAAAAAATCAATTAATCAGAGACTAAATTGACAAACACTCAACGTGACCGATAGACGAAACTGAGGTTCTACTCATAGATGCAACAAAGCATGAAATGTGACTTCGATCAGAAGTAAATACCGGCAGGCTTTCCATCAATTTCGACGTCGAAATAAACCTTGTGTGTCACTTCTTTCAAATCCTCCTTCGACTTCTTGGCCTGCAACTCAAATATCCTTTAAAAATTATGCACAACCAAGATCAAAAGAACAGAATTAAGCCAACTAGGAAACTAGTTCCAGTCCTCGAAATCACTTAATCAGTTAATATGCCAACACTTGTCTAGTCAAACATAGAAAATAAAGAAGTTCAATGACTGATCAATTCCGTGGTTTTCATAAAGATCCAGAGACGAAGATCGGATCAAAAATAATACTGAGAAATTAAAATAGAAAAGACTAAACCTGGATGAGAGCGAGAGTGCTGAAGAGGACCAGCGTCCAGAGCAACAACGACGTCATTTTCGCCATCCCTATCCTTCTTCCCACACTCTGGTTTGCCGACTAGCTCCGCACGAGAGTCTGCCTGTGGTCTGCTGTGGAAGAGGAGAGAAATGGTGATTTATACAGGAATGCTCGACTTTGTCATTCAGACCAATGACTGTGTGACACGTAGCCATTAAGCCGAAATAGTTGGGTTCGGTTCTTTTGGTATGGGAAAGGGCCCTACTATATTTTGGACCTCAGAAATGAGTACCAATAAGGCTTGGGCTTAGAGCCCATAAACTCGGATCAGAGCAATCGATCCATGTTTTTCATGCCCATGTACTTGAACTGCACCTTTTCTGTCAAAAGAAAGATTTCGCTGGCTCTTTAGTCTTTCTTCCTATGCATTTTAAAAACTAAATATTACAATTTTAATTAAATAAAACTATGCCTCTTGATCTATTCAGACCATTTCAACTTAGTGTTTGTTTTGAGTTGCTTAATACATGCCTTCATGTAACTCAATACAAAACTTCTCTTACTATTTATTTCACACTCTTCCTATTCAAAATATAAGATAAACTATATCTATTTGCATTTATGAAGAAATTAGTTAAAATCAATTTAAACATAAATATTTAAAGCATATATTTTTTTTAAATATGACTTTATTAATAAAAGAATAAGTAAAGATGTAATAAATAAACAAAAAGGAAAGAGAATATATATGGGTAAAATTGGAAAAAAAAACTCATTGAATGTTTAGACAAAAGTGAATAGTATCCCTAAAAAAAAAACTCTTTTAACAAAGTTATCTTATATTCTAAACCAAAGGGAGTATTTTGTAAATCAAGGAAAATAAAACAAGACTCCGATTTTTCAAAGATTGATTAGATCATCATCATTTGTATCGAAATAAAAGAAGACTAGTTTCTTATGCCATCAAAGAAAGGAATTTTATTGATAAAGCAAACATTAGCAATCAAAAGTTCCAACGCAAAATGCCCCCGCAAATAAGTTAAGTTAAAAATAAAACCTACATCTAAAACACAGTGTTGAAATAAAAATACTACCATAAGATTTACAAATATAAGAAATTAGTTAAATTAATATGTAGTTGAATATATATTATCTTTCTTAAAACATTTTATAATCATGTATATAAAAAAAAATATTCTAATATATGTCATGTGCCCTTTGAAAAAGACTAGTTATTCTTATATTTATTGCCCATTTAATGGAGTAGAATTTTATGAAAAATACCGTAGTCTTGTGTTTTGTGAGAACTTTCTAACAATTGTGTCGGCAAGATTTTTTTTTTTTTTGGACAAAAAGGATTGTTCCTCGTTCCACCCAGTCCCGCCGTTTATGGACAGAAAATCTGAACACGTGTCATTATCTAGGACCTTTCAAATATTCCGAAAACCGTTGAGAGAGGTTTTGAAAAATGTTTGTTTTTATTAAAAAATACGATAAATCTTTTGAAGTACTCCTCCGGTCCTAATTATAAGACCCAATTGACTTATTTGAGGAGATTAAGGAAGTAAGTTAAGTTGGTTATTTATAATAAATAAGTGTTATTATTCCTAAAATATCCTTTCTAATTCGTATATTGGCTAAAAACTATCATTATTAAGAGGATTATCTTGGAAAAAAATGTATAAAATATAAGAGAGAAAATGGTTGGGTCTTATAATTAGGACCAAATAAAAATTCAAATTGGTTCTTATACCTAAGGACCGGAGGAGTATTATTTTTAATACTCTAATTAAAATGAAAATAAAGAAATAGGAAGATATGCGAGCCCTATTTCTGCCTCCACAAAGATGCTCACACAGTCACACGTCTACTTCTAGACGAAGGAAAGTGAAGAGCAGAAAAGACAACCCAATCAAGGTAATGATACCCTGTACCAAGAAAGGGCAGTTTGAAAGTGACGTCAGCTAATATGAGAACAACTGAAGGGATTCGTTTTTTTGGCCTGAAATGGAATCATCTTTTGAATTGAGCTGTGCCTGAAAATTTTTCGACACAGTAAATACCAGACTCGTTTATAGAGTTGACTTTGGACCGGCCTATAAGAAAAAAGAGAATATCTCCTATTCTTAATATAAAATCTTATTTGACTTTATTTCGATTATAAATATAAGATCCTAATACATTTTATCTCTCATATTTATATTTTTTTTTCTAAAGTAACCTTTCTAACAATAATAATCTAATCAATACACTTGATTAGTAAGGATTTTTTGGAAAGACAATACCTATTTAGGACAAATAACTAATTCAATTTACTTCTTTAATCTTTTCAAATTAGTCAACTGACTCTTATAATTAAGATCAGAGGTAATAATAACATATATTTTCATGGTGCTTGTTTTTCCAATTATGCGACATGGCTAAGGGATCCACAAAAGTAAAATTTTTTTAATTAAAAAGTCTCAAATACCCTTAATATAAATGCACGATGGAGGTTATTATAATGACAAGTTTTTATGAGGCTCAAAATTTCATGTTGACCAAAAAGATTAAAAAGAACAAGGCATGCAATTGATACAAAGTCAATCTCTGATTGAATCAAATTGGATTTTTTTCCCAATAGAAATCCAATTCGTCCTATAATAATTAACAAGCACTACATCTATTCTTTTTTATAAGAGTTTATTTAATTTTTAATTTGATCCTAAATATAAAACCCTGATCCTTTTGTCTTTCATATTTATTTATTTTTTAAAATAGTTCTTGTAGTGATTACATATGTTAAAATTTTATCAAATGGTAATTCTAACTAATATATATTATTAGCAAGGGTATTTTATAAAAAAAACACCTATTTATAACAAATACTCCTCATGTCCTTAATATAATACTCATTTAACTAATTTGATTAGATTAAGGAAGTTAGGTAAGTTAGTTAATTATAAGAAATGTAACATGTTTTTCCTGAAATATCATAATTATCTTTTATAATACCCCCCTCCCCCCTTCTATTTAATTATGGTTGAGAAAATATCCATAAAGTAATTTAGAGAAAATTGATAAATATAATAATGGGTCTTGTATTTAGGATCAAAACCAACTCAATAATTAGGTTTTATATTAAGGACCAGAGGAGTACCTAACTTAACTAATTTTCTTAATCTCTCTAAATTAATCAATTAGCTATTATATTAAGGATCAGGTGGTAACAATTTTGCAATCAACAACGACGTACATAGATTTTGAGCAGTCAATCTCTAATTGCTATTGGTTGCATTTTTAAAATAAATTTCAAGTTACCTTAGATATTGGTTGTTAATAATAAATGTGATTTTAAGTGAATGACAGCCTACAAAAAGTTACTCTTTTTCAATCCTTAATATAGAATCTAGTTAACTAATTTGAATAAATTAAAAGTATTAGTTAAATTAATTAATATGATATGTTATTTCTAAAATATCCTAAGTATCTTTCTTAATTCCCTTACTCCCTTTCCTACTTCATTATTATTAGGAGAATATCAATTAAATTAATTTTAAAAAAAAATGTGAAATAAGTCTTACATATAGGACCATCAACTTTTTAACAATTTTTTTTTTTTTGCCTAACCTAAAGGATTTTATATTAAGAAGCAAGAGAGTACTTGTCAAAATTCAAACACCTGTTGTTATATGTGACACCCAGTTGCCGGTCACAAGCATGTGTTTTCAATGGACTTGTCAAAAAAAAATTAACCAAATTATACGAGCGCAAAAGTCATCATCTTTCTATGGGGCCCTTAATGCCGCCCCGCGAAGGATAATTGGCGCCGCGTCATCTGCCAGTTAGAAATCAATATCAATGTATCGGCATTATGCCATTCATTAGTTAGACATCAATATCAATGTACTGGACCAATTGCCATTCATTAATTAGACATCATATCAAATTTATATTAGAAAAAAACACTAAAATACTCTCAAAAACACCAAAAAACAATTAAGATAGATGAATTTTAAAATTTCAAATCAGATTCCTTATACTATTTTGAAATTTAAAATATTTGAATGAGAATACTGTCTTATTCTCGATGACTACTTTCACATAATTATTGACTACTATTATTTTAAAGTTCTGATGACTACTTTTATATAGTTATTAACTACACAAAAGAATAGTAAATAACTAAATAAAAGTAGTTATTAGATCTCCAACAACACTACATGTATTTTTTAAATTTTTGAAACAAAAATAATCAATAATAAAACTAGAAGTAGTCATCAAAATTTTAAAAATAAAAGTAATCAATTGTAATATTACGAAATCTAGTAGTTAATAAGAGCAATTATTGAAGTTTTAAAAACAAATATAGTCAACATATAAAAAAAGTAGTTACTCTACCTCCGACGACAGTTACTGGAGTTTCGTGGGGCGACAGGAAGTGCTGAGGTGACATATTTTTAAAAAGAAAAAGAAAAAAAAGGTATTTGTGTAATTTTACAAAATTTGAAATTTTCAAAATGGTATAGAGGATCTAAATTGAAATTTTAAAATTCATCCATACTAATTTGTCCTTTCACAATTTCTAAGATATTTTATTGTCCTTTTCCTTTTATATTATTCATTTGTTATTATTAGTAATATCATGACTCTTCATCGGCAAGAAGATATTACGACGCCTGATGAACAAGATAATACCCTGACTGATCTCAAATCCAACATAACAGGATAGAAAAGCTGAAGATCTCACAAGGGACATAACGAGAGCTTTGAGTAAGATAATACATAATTTTTTATATGTGTCTTATACTTATAATAACAATAAATCTCTCAAAATAACTCTTACATTTTGAATGGCTAATAAATTCTGAAATTTTGGAGTAACAAGATTAAAACTGTTTGACAATCAGCTTTATCAATAGAAGACTCATCAAACCACTGCCTTCAGACAATCAGATTTGGAAGGATATCTTTTTTATCTTGTTTTAAGGAATATAATTCTAGGTAGTGTTTATTTTTTCTTTCTTAAATTTCACTTAAAAATACCCGTTACTATTTTAATGATATTTTGACTTTTTAACCCAAAAAAAAAAAAGTTGGAAAGGATCAACTGCATAATTTTTTTTTCTGTCTGGGAAAAAAGGAGTATAATGGAACCAAGTATCACTTGTGCCAACACTGGCGTGTCCCAAATGTCATTAAGGTTTGCTTGGCCGATACAAAAGATGCATGAGACACGATGTAAATAGAAATTGAGGTTTCAACCTCTTCTAGTATTAAAATAAAATATGTACCAGATTATTATTACATCTATAATTTCTTTAAGAAGCTAATTACAATGAATTTTTAATGAACAAAGTTGATTGAAAAGTTTTTAAGCCCATGATTGATAATTGAAGCCGGAAAAGGCGGGAAAGAAAAGAGGAACGTAAAAGAGTGATGGCTTCACGATTTTTAAAAACTCCAGAAAGAAAGGGACCATGCTTCTGCCGCGACAAAAGCACGCATGCGCGTTGCGCACCAGAGCCAAGCCCGCCAATTCACCAAACGTCCAAATTCAGAGGACATGGCGGTCGCTGCTCTCTAGAGACGACATGATTTCACCACAAGCGGTTCCTTTACGTTTAGCCATGACCATCATCATGGTAGGACCCATCAATCACCACAAATGGATTCCAGACGGTAAGAAAATAGGAATTGATCTGTAACAGACACACTCGCTCGTTTTTAAGCTAAACTGGATTGGAAGCTTTTAGAATGACATCACCTCCATTTTCCTTTCCAGACCAGACCATGTGGCTAAACCCCTTCCATGGGACTCCCTTCTAAGTCCTTTCGTCTTCCTCCTCTTCCACGCCTCCCTTGTCTCTTCTCTTTCCTTCTGGCCATCTCTCTCTTCTCCCTCACTGCATTCGTCTTTTATAAGGTTTTGATTTTCCTTCATCTGGAGATCTCTGTGTGTTTTGTTTGTTTTCTTTGCTGTTATAATCACTTGTTGAACTGGCTTTTCTATTGGAAATTTGGCCCAGTGGGTGGATGATGTCGTCTCGCAGACTAAAACAGTAGTGGGGCACAATTTGAAACCAACGCCATGGCACATATTTCCGCTCAAGACGTTCGACGAAGAAACTCGGCAAGCTCGAGCGTACAAAATCTTGCAATGCTCTTTCCTTACTTGCGGTTACAGGTCCGATACCAGTTACCGACGACATCGTCTGGCAAAGGCGGCCCCTGAAACCACCGAGAAGTGCCCGGAATTCTTCGGGGCGATCCACCGAGATCTTCAACCTTGGGCTGAAACGAGGATTTCGAAGGCTCATTTGGAGGCAGCTCAGAAGTACGCGGCTTTCAGGGTCGTTATTGTTGGGGGAAAGCTTTATGTTGATTTGTACTATGCTTGCGTGCAGAGCAGAGCCATGTTCACTATCTGGGGTTTCTTTCAGCTTCTTAGGAGGTACCCTGGGATTGTGCCTGATGTTGATATGATGTTTGATTGTATGGACAAACCAACAATTAGTCGGACACAACACCAATCGATGCCTTTGCCTCTGTTTCGGTACTGTACCAGCAAGAACCACTTTGACATCCCATTTCCTGACTGGTCTTTCTGGGGCTGGTAAGACTTTCTCTGCTATTTTGTCCTTCTTGCTTTGTTAGTTGCTATTTCATTACTTGGCCTCTTAAATGCGATGCTTCTTGTATTTCCCCGATTCATCAACTGTACTATGACGCCATGCTACTGTTTTGGTTTAATCCAAAAGCATCAGCATAGATTCTTCCGTATCCTAGTGATAAAGAAATGACTAGAAATGGAAAGGTAACTTGTGGTGAGAGAACTTATATGAGTTAGCTATATTATATATATAAATATATATATAGGTTCTTCAAGGTATAATTAAAAGGGTATCTTAGTTGCTGAATTTTTACGACTCTTTGCTTCAAATAATTATTGGTATGACTTGTCGTTCTGTCAAATGTTCATTGCACAGGCCAGAGATAAATATTAGGCCATGGCAGGAGGAATTCCCGGACATCAAAGAAGGTTCACAATCTTTAAGTTGGAGAAAGAAAGTGCCACGGGCTTACTGGAAAGGAAACCCAGATGTTTCATCACCTATTCGAACTAAATTGCTCAAATGTAATCATTCTAGGATGTGGAGAGCACAAGTTTTCCGTCAGGTTGGGATAAACTTGCTTTACATTATACTGATAATTCAAATATGCGCCCATATTTCTTTACCAAAATAAGAAAGTACTGTCAGTGTTTCTGTGGTCTGATGTTGGCAATTAAATACTCGTTACAGGATTGGGGTGAAGCTGCTAGAAGTGGTTTTCAGCAGTCAAAACTTTCAAAGCAGTGTAATCACCGGTGAGTTCATTCTCCTTGCCGTATACTAGAGCAAAAGTGAGAAGTCAGGGTAAACTAGTTTCTCTTAAGCGACTGCAAAACTGGATTAGACAGCCGAAACCACGCAGAAAATTCAGCAGATCCTTCTGAGCAGCGAACGGTCAACAGTGCATATTACTGTAGATTTGCTTATGTTTCTTATTACAGGACGCAAATACAGGCACAGTCAACAGGGGAATTAAACTAGTATATAAAGAAAGAAGAATAAATCTCCTTATAATTTTGATCCCCTCTCCAAAACTCACATTGCTGTTCATTTCCCATTCTCCCATCCTTTTCTTCATTTTGTCGCCTCCTCTTTAAATTAATTGTCTTGTTTTTGAAGGTACAAGATCTATGCTGAAGGTTACGCATGGTCTGTGAGTCTGAAATATATTCTCTCGTGTGATTCGGTTGCACTAATAATATCACCTCGATATGAAGACTTCTTCAGTCGAGGGCTTATTCCACGGGAGAACTTCTTGCTTATTGATCCTCTACATCTATGTCCAGCTATAAAGGATGCAGTTGACTGGGGCAATGAACATGAGAATGAGGTACGGCTTTACTTGTTCCTCTCTCAGTTCTCATGAGTCTCGCACAAAATTTGTAAACTCCATCGTTACATTCACAACTCATAATTAGTTGCTAGTATAATCTCAAATCGTAATTGACTGATACAAATTTTACATTTTATGTTGATATCGATGATATTCATTGGATCTATCTGTATTGGTATAGGCAGAGGCTATAGGAAGAAGAGGGCAGGAGTTAATGGAAAGCTTAAGCATGGATCGGGTTTATGATTACATGTTTCACCTTATTTCTGAGTACTCAAAGCTCCAAGACTTCAGGCCAACCCTACCATCGACCGCCATGGAAGCTTGTGCAGAATCGCTGCTATGCTTCGCTGATGAAAAGCAGAGGAACTATCTCAACAGATCAATGGCCTTCCCTTCACAGACTCATCCCTGCACCCTGCCCTAGTGTACAGAATGATTAAAGACGACTAAGTCAGAAGGGGACCCGAAGTTGTGGACCACTCAAGAATGGACAAATAAACAGAGGGCAGACACATTTAATGGCGCTGCATTTATTGGTGGTATACGAGGTACAGTGAAAATAAGTCATCTACCGCTTCCTACTGTAAATTTTAATTCTCCTGTCTGGTCATTTGGACGATTTGGTTTGTTCGTTTGGCATCAAAATTTCTTTTTCCTTCCCCGCCATGGAAGCTTGTGCAGAATCGCTGCTATGCTTCGCTGATGAAAAGCAGAGGAACTATCTCAACAGATCAATGGCCTTCCCTTCACAGACTCATCCCTGCACCCTGCCCTAGTGTACAGAATGATTAAAGACGACTAAGTCAGAAGGGGACCCGAAGTTGTGGACCACTCAAGAATGGACAAAAAACAGAGGGCAGACACATTTAATGGCGCTGCATTTATTGGTGGTATACGAGGTACAGTGAAAATAAGTCATCTACCGCTTCCTACTGTAAATTTTAATTCTCCTGTCTGGTCATTTGGACGATTTGGTTTGTTCGTTTGGCATCAAAATTTCTTTTTCCTTCCCCGCATAACAACAATAAAAGTTCAGCCTTTAGAGCATCTGAGTGATATTGTCATTTCTCATGGACACACTGAGGCACGTAATCGCAGTAGAATAGATTCTTACCGTTGTTCTTTTCTCTTTGCGCACGTTGTTTGTCTCACTTGTTGTTGTCTGCTTATATTCTCTTGCATATTTATTGAAAAATAATGGGAAATCGCTTCAGAATATGAAGAATTGATTCGTTTGTTATATGGGAGACTGAAGATTATGATTTATGAGCAGCACTTTGAAGTATATGATTTCTTTTGAGGTATCAAAATTCAAAAGCATATGATTTCATTATTATATGCTTATTGTCATGTTGATGGTAATTGTTATATTTTTGTTAATTAGTTACAACAACATAAGCAACAATTACAATTGGGTCTATTAGGTCCATTATAGATCGGAGGGAACAAGATTTTTTTCGTCAAATGCGCCCTTGGCCAGCCAGGTGCCCAGACCTAGAATTCAATAATTCATAGCCAGATGAATACTGTTATGAACGGGATCGGACATAAAAACGGGTAATTGGGTTAGCGTGCGCGCGTGTGTTTTCAACAAATTTAATTACTGTATATTCATTGATAAAAGCTGATTTTTTCCGGCAAAAATAAAAACAATAAATTTGGCTTTTTATGAAATATCGAATGTGTGTGATGTATTGAAGAATCTAAAACGCGCAAACTATTCAGCGGGACAAGTTTTAATACTCATCATATTGATAAATACTCTAAATTCATCAAGTCAAGCTATTAAGATCTTGTTTGAATGGTTTAGATTTTAAATTTTTAATAAATTATTTTTTGAAAATGATAGTTGAGATATTATTTTTATTTTATATTTTGTACCTATTAAAATAATTATTTTAAATAAATAAAAGAAAAAAAATAAATTTGGATCATTTAAATAAAACCTAGATGGCTTAGATCTGATAACTTTGAGGTAGGGATGTTCACGGGACGAATCGGGACCGGGACAGGCCCGTCCCGGTTCCGTCCCGATAAATAGTAACAAGACAGAAAATCTGTCCCGTGTCTCGACTCGTCCAGGGGTTATCTCGGTCCCAGTCGGGACGGGACGCGTCTGGGGCGTCTCGAAATTTTTTTTTAATTTTTTAAACTTTTTTAATAAAATCTGATTTTTTTAATTATATTTTTAGGGCTTAAATCTTATAAAAAATATTTTTTTTATTTTCTTTTTTATTTGTTTGGGCACTCTTCCTGTCTCATGTCCTGTCCCGTCCCGGTCTCTTTTTTGTCTCATCTCGTTTTGTCTCGTCCTGAAAAATTTCAAGAAGAGTCTGTCCCGTCCTAATAAAACCGGGACCGGAAAGTGTCGGCCTTGAGCACTCCTGCTTTGAGGTGCTGAGCTGAGCTATTTAACTGGTTCCCTAATAGCGCGGGAATCTTGATGTTCACACCTTCAGGCGAACACGTGAACATGAACAGTTGTTCTGCGTTCAGATACACGATAAACGAGTTGACCATTGACTTGGAGTGGGTCTTCCAAGATGCTACTAATACACATATACTAGTATTATTCTCACCATTCTTTTACGTTTTTTTAAACAGTATTTCTCACGTATTTTTTAAGTTAAATAAAAAATACATATTGCTAAAAAATATATATATAGATTAGTTAATTAGCTCTTATAATTAAGATTGAAAGTAATATTTTATTATGACCAGCTCCATATATATATATACACGCGATAAACGAGTCGGCTAGCTCTATTAATTTATGCGTGTTACAATAAAATCCATCCATTTTTTTATTTATCATTATTCCAACAACTTTAATAGCGACAGAAACGAACCTAGGCGTATTTTTTCCACAAAAAAAACCTTAACAAATATTTTATAATGACTTTGTACGAGTATAAATTATGTTTATACTCTTATAATCCTATTAGTAGTGTACGGGATAGATATATAATATATTCGTTAAATATCCCGAAAATAAAATATCAGGAACAGTGATGAAATTATTATAGTATCGAATAAAAAAAAGGCGCGCCAACCAAGCTTTTCGTTAATGCAGAGAGAGAGAGAGGAGAGAAGAGGAGGACACTAAGACAAAGCATTAAAGCCATGGCCAATATCTCTCATGATAATGGAGAATTTTATGTAGTGGAGAAGCAAGCGAAGAGGCCTTTCAACTTGATCTCTCTTTCGAAAGACTTTCCACTTGAATACACCTTTCTGTCTCCTCGTATCATCATTGCCTCTTCTTCTCTTTGATCTCAGTTCATAGACAGGCGTTCTTGTGTTTGTTGTCTGTTTGACTATTGATCTAATGGGGAGCTACAGAGTCTGCATGTGCTTCCAACGGCGGTTCAGGGTGGAAGAGGCGGTGCCGCCGGAGGAAGTGAGGGAGCTCTTTAACAAGTACGCCGAAGGTGGGGCCCACATAACTCCGGAGCAACTCCTCCGCTTCCTCGTGGAGGTTCAGGGCGAGGGTGGTGATATCGACGCGCGGCAGATTGTGGAGCAGGTGATGCAGAAGCGGCACCACATTACCAAATTCGTGAGGCACACTCTCACTCTCGACGACTTCCATCACTATCTCTTCTCTCCCGAGCTCAATCCCCCCATTGGATCTCAGGTCTCTTCTCCATCTCTCTCTCTACGATTCTCTATTCTTTTATGTGCCTGTGGATGAATTGCACGGGCTTTTGAACTGTTTGTCCCCAAAATTATGGAAAACGATGGCCTAATTTTCTTGTCGTTTTTCTGAGTTAAGGTACTGGCCGATTTGCTGTCATCGAGCTGCCCCCTAAATTTCCTTCTTTAGCGTCTGTTCCTGTGAGATAGATAGATCCCTTTCGGGGCATAACATTAGCACGGAAGCAAAACTGTCCTCTTTTGTTCCCTTTCCATGTGTTATTCCAATTTTATAGCCTTTTCACTTTCTATGAGTACCGGCAAGCTGAAGTTGTTTATTTGTGATCCCTCTTTCCTTCCTTGCATTCCGTTACATTTTTGGTAACTTGGAACTAGATTTCACTCTTAGAATACGTGCCTTAGAATTTAATTAATTGTTAAATAACTAAATACTCGATGAACAAGATATGCTTCCCACAGTGAGCAAAAATTAATCTGATGGACACGGTACGTGAATGGACCAAAAAAACATGGTATTTGAAGACCTCAAATTTCTATTTCAGGAGCGTGAGATGTTTATTGCCTTATGCAGAGAGATTTATTTGTATCATTCTTGTTAATCCCTTTGATTGGCATCATCCAGGTTCATCAGGACATGACAGCACCCTTATCCCAGTACTTTATATTTACAGGCCATAACTCCTATCTCACTGGCAATCAACTCAGTAGCGATTGCAGTGATGTGCCAATTATAAAGGCATTAAATAGAGGTGTAAGAGTGGTGGAGCTTGATATATGGCCCAATTCCACGAAAGATGATATTCATGTTTTACATGGAAGGTATTCAGATTTATTAACAATCAAGGTCCCACTAAATGTTCACTTTCAGTTGGTCAGTATCATGGAGAAGTCACTAACCAGTAATCACCGATGATTTTAGCCTGATATATCTCTTAGTCAATGAGATGGACTGAATTTTGTTTCTTCTTGAGAAATGTTCTCACTGTAACGAGCGCAACTGCAAAAATTTAGAAATCTATGGTAATACTCTCCTTTAAGGAGAATTCATGGCTACACACACACACACTCATCGTCTATACTTATTTAAACTTCATGTGTACATAGGTTCTATATGTCAGCTGTTACTTTTAGGCGCTCATGTTCATAACAATATCAATGTTTCAGTTGTCTTTGTCGAGTCAATAGCTATCTCCATGCTTCATTTCATTTTCAATCTGTAGTTTTGGGAAGCTTAAAGTATACCCTGTTGCTGCACCCATAATTTGTGTTTTTATCTGTTCTCATAGGACATTGACAACTCCTGTTGAGCTCATTAAATGTTTAAAATCTATTAAAGAGCATGCTTTTGCTGCATCTCCTTACCCTGTCATCATAACTTTGGAAGACCATCTTACACCAGACCTTCAAGCGAAAGTAGCTCAGGTAATCTGTTGCATCCAAGAGGAATCCATCACTACAGCTGGCCAAAATTATAATTAATTTATGATGGTGCTACCTTTTAGATGATTACTGAAACATTTGGGGATATGCTGTTTCGCCCGGAGAGTGAAAATTTTAAAGCATTTCCTTCACCTGAAGAATTGAAGCATCGGATTATAATTTCAACTAAGCCCCCAAAAGAGTACCTCCAAGCTGGAAGTGCTGATGTGAGTATAAAGAGGCCACAGGATTCAAAGGATTTTGATGGAGATGAAAGTAGAAGGGAACCCTCTAATGTTACAAAGGATCAGAATGAAGATGACATTGTAAGCCAAAAAGTGCATGTCAAAGGCCACTGTTTTCCCTAGCATACTATCTGTTCAGTCTTTTAGGAATTATTTTTATAATGTTACAGGATGATCCTGAAATGACTGAAAGTGAAGATGATGAGTCAAACGATGATTGTGCCCCTGAGTTATGCTCATTAGTTTCAAGTTATAAGCGTCTAATTGCTCTTCGTGCTGGAAAACCTAAAGGCGGCCTAAAGGAAGCATTAAAAATTGAAATCGACACTGTTAGACGCCTCAGTTTAAGTGAACAAGCCCTCGAAAAGGCTACTGAGTCTCATGGAACTGATGTTGTAAGGTACTGTCCAGTTTCTACACAAAACTTTGATTTGCTATTTTATCTGAAATGCACAAATGATCTGCTTTTCTGAAATTCTTCTATGGTCTAATGACAATGCTTTCAATTTCCTTTAATAGATTCACCCAGAAGAACTTCTTGAGGGTTTACCCAAAGGGTACACGGTTTAACTCCTCCAACTACAAGCCGCTAATTGGTTGGATGCATGGTGCTCAAATGGTTGCCTTTAATATGCAGGTTTTTAATTAATGCTTTATGCTTTGCCTATCTTCCAAACCGCTGCAACTATGGTGCCCTTTGGAGTTACTTGTAGCCTCTGTATGTGCTGAAATTTAAATTTTCTGTGGGTTTATTTATTTTGTTATGCAACTAGCAGCTTAAAGAAGACACTGATTCTCATAATTTCAGTGTCAGTGTTATAAAATTTCTTCATGCTTTAAACATTACTACGTCTGAAATCTGGTTACACTATGATATTGTTGCAACATTCTTATGGCGCATATGATGGGATTGCACTTGCATTATCGGTCGAACAATGAATACTTTTTTCTCGGGATTGTAACATGAGAATTTATTTGCTTTGATGATAGGGATATGGCAAATATCTTTGGTTGATGCAAGGAATGTTTAGATCCAATGGAGGGTGTGGTTATGTCAAAAAGCCAGATCTTCTTATGAGGGAAGGCCCAGAGCAGGAGATATTTAATCCTAAAGCTGATATGCCAGTGAAGAAGACTCTGAAGGTTAGGAACTTGGGATATACAAAATATAAACAATCAACAATACCTCCCTTACATTGTATTCAATTTAGTCTCTTACTTGACAGGTTAAAGTATACATGGGAGACGGATGGCGTATGGACTTTAAACAAACTCACTTCGACTTGTATTCCCCACCTGATTTCTATGTCAGGGTGAGTTTCTTTTCTTTTGCTTTTTTCCCATTACCATCTCTGATTTTTCTAAATCTCCAACTATTGACTGCTTAACTTTCTAACAACTGGTTGCTGCCTTTCATTTATATTCTGGCAAATATGGCTGTGTTAAATAAATGTAATCTTGTTCCTCTTGAAGCATGACAATTTCAGTATGGCAGTTCTAGCAAAACTTATTCTATGTAAAGCCAGTGCCACAGATCAAAATCTTTAATATTATAATTCTCTGGTGTTTTGGCATAAACAAGTCACAATCTGTGAGTCTGTAGGTTGGTATAGCTGGAGTGCCAGCTGATGATATAATGAAGAAAACAAAGATAAAAGAGGATATCTGGGTCCCTACTTGGGACGAAGAATTTAGCTTCCCATTAAGGGTTCCTGAACTTGCTTTGCTCAGAGTGGAAGTTAATGAATATGACATGTCAGAGAAGGACGATTTTGCAGGCCAAACATGTTTTCCAGTATCCGAACTGAAGCAAGGAATCCGCGCAGTTCCCCTCTGTAACCGCAAAGGCGACAAGTATAACTCAGTTAGGCTTCTTATGCGATTTGAGTTCACATAAGTACCCTTTTATTGCCTATGTTCTCCGTGTCCTTGCCCTCATTTTTCACTCTTATAGGAGAAAGATGGATAGTCGCAAAATGCAAGTCCTGGTACATATGAAGTTGCTATTCTTTGTTTTTGGGTTAAGTCCACTGAAGTTTAGTCAACGCGTTTTATTAGTAGATATAACAAGTTGTTCTGTAACCATGTCCGTCGATAAATTTGCTTCAGAGTTCACACAGCGTAGTGGGTGAGCATGAGTTATATCTATCAAGCAACATTTCTTTTGTATTTAATGATTATCTTACCCCTAATTTTAGTTAAGAATTTAAAAAAAATTAAAAAACTAATTGGCATATTTTGCCCTTGGAGCCGGTTTGGGAATGAGTTTAAAACCTTCATAATAAATATTTTATTGAACGTAATATTGTAAGGGGGGAAATTAGAGGGAAAAAAAATAGATGAATGTGAATATATGAATGAGTTTACGCACTTCACTCTATAATTAATTCAGTTTGTTATGAAACTAAGCTATGAAGCATAAGATCCAACGTAGCGTTTCAGCACAATTATAAATAATGGGTTTCATTTCATACATTGTACAGAGTTTAAAAAATAAATTAGATTTTTAATGTCTATGATTAATATGTTGGCTGTCATGTTCATATCATACACTCTGTCTAATTATTAACGTAGGTGCTGAACAACTAATTTATAAATATTAAAAGTATCAGTTGAATTAGTTTATTTATAAAAGATTGGTGTTGATTTTTTCATTTACGTTAATTCCTCCATAGATGAGAAACTTCCAAATGGATAATTTAAAAAAAAAATTATAAATACCAGTGAAGAAGACATTTTTGAATGATAAAGTATAATTCCCTCATCAATTAGATCATACATATCTGGGACCAGACTAAGTATAGATATGCAATATTTTATGATGATTCTTAAACCCTGAAGCTGAACCAGCTTGTTTGCCACAGTTCAGTTCGGTTTCACAAAAGCTGTCTTCTTTTTTAACTTTATGTTTATTTAATACAAAAAGCATAAACCAAATTTAAGAAAACACAAGCTACAAGCACATCAAGCAATCTCTTTCTTCATTACAGAGGCATTATAAAGGAATAACGGCATGCCTTTCTTCCTTACAAACACCACAAACAGCATAAATTCTCGCTTTTTGTCCAAGCCACATCAATGCGGACAACACGTATATTAACTCAACAACCCAGTCGACATATCTCTAGGAGGGAATTATTCAAACACAGAACCAGATAAAACAGAAATGGCAAGCTCGCCACCGGCGATAAATATGAGATCGGCCGGCGGGAATAGAGAGAAAAGTACGAAGGGGATGAAGGGGCAATTCAGAGTGTGTTTCTGTTTCAGGAGGATGTTCAGGGTGAAGGTGGGAGAGCCGCCGGAAGAAGTGAAAGAAGTGTTCAACAAGTACTCAACCAACGGCTCAATGAGCGCGGACGAGCTTCTCAAGTTCTTGGTATTGTTTCAAGGAGAGAGAGAGGCCACCAAGGAAGACGCGCAGTCTATATTTGACAGTGTCAAGCATCTGAGCTTTTTTCACAGACGAGGCCTTCATCTTCATGCCTTCTTCCGTTACCTCCTGGGCGAAGGCAACCATAACGGCCCCTTACGTCAGGTAAATTATTATCATCTCTCATCTGTTTCTATACTTCATCTCTAAATTTCCTGACTTTTTTTTCAGTAAGTTATGATAGTTAATCAAATAACAAAATCCATAGCTTATTGTATCTTAAAAATTACTTGTTTCATTCGATTATTTTGTTATTTTGGCAGGTAAAGCAAGACATGGATGCTCCATTGGCTCATTATTTCATGTACACAGGACATAACTCCTACTTAACTGGCAATCAAATTAGCAGTGATAGCAGCACCGAACCCATCATATCTGCTTTAAAGAAAGGTGTTCGAGTGATTGAGCTCGATCTGTGGCCTGATGGTCGAGGCGAGGATGCTGAAGTTCGTCACGGAGGGTATTTAATTTATGCAATTAATTACGCATTCTTATTTTAATCTCATTCAGATTTTAATTAATACTTGCTTTAATTTAATTAACATGTTTGAAGATGTGTGTGTGCGTGTATAGGACTTTGACAGCTCCAGTGGAGCTGAGAGATTGCTTGGAAGCTATCAAAGAACATGCCTTTGAAGTTTCTGAATATCCTGTGGTCATCACTTTTGAGGACCATTTGAGTTCTCTTCTTCGAACCAAAGTCGCTAGGGTTTGTTCAATCTTCTTGGGATTATTAATTTTAGTCCTGGGAATTTAATCTCTATCGATCAAGTTCGTTAAGTTCTTAGCCATGCACAATTAGTTATTATGGAGTTAGTTTGCCTCTCTGCCAATTGTGAGGACTAATTGTGTGTGGTTATGAAAATTTAGGGACTTTGATTCATAAAGATTAAATTTTAAGAACTAATTGATAACTGAAGCAAACTTAATTACTTAAGAAATCAATTCATTCTAAATACTCGTACATTTTTTTTATATATTTGGTGTATATATAAATAGATATGAATTGCATATGTTGCAGATGGTGAAAGAAATTTTTGGACAGATGTTGTATTATCCGGACTTAAGTTATGCGGAACAAACAGAGTTTCCATCTCCGGAGTCTCTCAAGGGAAAAATCATGATTTCGACGAAACCACCAGAATATCATGACCATACGGTGAGCCACATTAATTTTACTAAAAATTCAAGTTTAGCGGTTGAAATTGGAATCAACTCAAGATCAAATCTGTTATAATTAAAAGTAATAGTTAAATAAAAAAGGTATTAACCACAAGCATACAAAGCTTTAGAACGTTTATTCATAAACCACACATAATTCAATAAAACTAAAACACAAATATAAAGTATTGTTATGTCTTTTTTCAAACTCAAAATAATGTCATTTTTTTATGTTAAATAAAGTAAAATTTCACCCAGTCAATCCATTCAAAACTCCTGATGGGATTGGCTAAGAAACTAGTTGATCAGTTCATTAAACTTAATCTAGATTATGAACTGATGAGAACGTTATATGAGTAACTCACAGGAAAGTTTAATTCAAAGCTTGCTTGTACTAATATTATCAAATGAATCTAGTGAGGTTGACACACGTTGTATGGTTTGTTTTTGTCAGGGAGATATATCAGACGAGGATATTGAGGAGGATCTTACAGAATATAGGAATCTGATAGCCATTCATGCTGGGAAGCCCAAGGGCGGTGTGGAACATTGGTTTGCCCCTCAAAGTCAAGTGAAACGTGTTAGCTTGAGTGAGCAAGAACTTGAAAACGTTGCTGTTACTTATTCGACTGATATTGTCAGGTAATTAATTAAGTACGATTGGCTTTTTACGCACTGATTAATAATAATAATTAATAACAATCATCATTAATTATCTAAGCATTGGTTTATATATACTGATTAGATTTACCCAAGACAATTTGCTGAGGATATACCCAAAAGGTACGCGTCTAGACTCATCTAACTATAACCCCATGATTGGATGGACCCACGGAGCTCAAATGGTGGCATTTAACATGCAGGTTTCACTTTTCCTTTAATTTTCATCTTCTTCTCCTTCCCAGTTCTACTCAACTAATTAACCGGTTTGGGGCCTCTAATTAATGTGCCTCTTTTAATACCCTTTGTAATTCTCGAACCTTTCAAATGTTTTTTCCGCTATATGATCATTAAATTCTACATAAAATGATTATCAAATGGCGCTCGTTTTATTTGTAGAATCTGATGGTCAAAAGAAAAGGGGGAGAAAAACGTTGGGAAGGATTACAAATAGCGTTGGAGGCTCCCAACCCCGATTTTGATAAACTCTTTAGTTTAAAACGTGTATTAATGCTTGGGCAAGTGTTTGATAATTAGGGACATGGGAAGTATCTATGGATTATGGAAGGCATGTTCAGAGCCTATGGCGGGTGTGGCTATGTTAAGAAACCAGACATCCTCTTGGACGAATATGACATTTTTGATCCTTCCGCCACCGATGATCTCCCTGTCAAAGAAACTCTGAATGTGAGCTCTATTAATCATCACTGTCACAAAATTTTTTGTTTATAAGTATCTTGTTAAATAGGTTTAGTTATATGTACCACCTCTGATCTTAAATAAAGAAGCTAGTTAAAGAGTTTGTTTTTTAATTTTACCTTCCAAATTTATAATTTTTTTTCAAATTATTCCTATGGATAACATATTTCATTAATGAGAGTAATGATTAAAGGATATTTTAAGAATAAGTAATTAATTTAACTAATTTTCATAATATATATAAATTAGTTATTTAACTCTTGTATTTAGAACAGAATAAAGTTATCATCTTTACATTTTAAGTATTTGCCAGTAATACGCATAATTGAGAAACTTAATGAAAGAATTGACGGTTAAAAATTAAGAAAAATAATTATTTAACCGTCGTAATAACTAACATGCAAGACAGGTAATGGTGTACATGGGGGAAGGGTGGCATTCAGATTTTAGAGGAACGCACTTCGATTTCTATTCACCTCCAGATTTCTTTGTCAAGGTAAAAAATGGATGTCCTCGATTAATTAATTATTTTTTTACATACATTTAGCATTTATTGTTTTTCGTCGTAATTTAAATGAAAATGCAGGTGGGCATAAGTGGAGTTGCAGCAGATTCGACCCATATGAAGAGGACGAAGGCCATAGAGGACCAGTGGGTGCCTGTTTGGAACGAGGAATTTAGGTTTGATTTGAGAGTTCCGGAACTGGCAATTCTTCGAATTGAGGTGATGGAGTATGACACTTCAGGCAAGCACGACTTTGGGGGCCAAACATGTCTTCCAGTGTCTCTCATCAAGTCCGGCATTCGAGCCGTTCCCTTGTACGATCGCAAAGGTCGAATTTACCCCGCCGTCAGGCTTCTCATGGGCTTTCACTTTGCTCATCATGACTCTATTTTGTACTAGTTCGGTCATTCTCATCTTAATTCATTTCAACTTCAAGATTTCTTCTGCATTAATTCATTATGCATTGTGTTGTTTGATTTGATTGATCATGCTTTCCTCCCTAATCACCTTTTCTGATTCGTTACATGTATAAATATTGAATTTCGCTTTTCTTATATTTATATTTATCTCCTTTTTCATGAGAAGACCATTCTAAAACTGGAGCCACTCTAATGAAGTTTGATGATTTTTACCCCCAAAAAAAAAAAAACCTATTTCTTGTTGTAGTTTTACGTTGGAAAAAGTTAAGTTGAATCTTTAATTGAGACAATTAGGAAAAGGACATTGCAGTGAGGCTGACTATGTCAGATAACGAGAAAGCTAAACTGGCATCTTGACTATAGATTAATGTAGAACTTTTTAAGTCAGAAACTCCCAAACAGTGGCTCCCATGTCCTTAACAAATTGAAAATATAAGCGCAATTGAACTTAGGAGTTATGACCTGATGTTTGCAAGAGAGTTTTCATGTCATTAGAAATGAATTTTGCACTTCAGCTCAAAAAAAAGAAATGAATTTTGCACACACTAAAATAATACTACCTCGAATCCTTAATATAAGACCTTATTTAATTTTTATTTTAATCCTAAATATAAGATCCCAATCCACTTTGTCTCTTATATTTAAGCATTTTTTCTAAGCTAATCTTTTTAATAATAGTAGTTCTAACCAATACACTTGATTACTAAGAATATTTTAGGAAAAACAATGCATATTTGTTACAAATAACTAACTTAGCTTATTTTCTTAATCTTCTCAAATTAGTCAACTAGTTTTATAATTAGGACCGGAGGTAATATTTCCTTTTCATCTTTCTACAGAATTAAAAGTCAAACTTCATTCTTCAAAGTTCAGGCCAAAAAAAGGTCATATGATACATAAAATGACCACTTCTCCATGCAAAAAGAAGTATATCATACATATGAAGGGTGAGAAATTAAAAAATTTACTATATTAATGTAAAATCATTTTCTTAATAGCTTTAATTAACTACAGCATAATTCTCTTTGTTGAGCATGTCCAGAATCCCATAATTAAATAAAGAGAAGCTGACAATTAATAACTTTAAAAAATATCAATGTAAAATTAGGACCTGTCCATAATTGGAGTTTCGAAATATATTACTTGATTTTTTTTTGCCAACTGGATGCTTAAACTTGACATTTATATCTTAAAAAAGTCTTTATCTTACATTAATTAATATTCTTCATATCTTCAATTGTCATTCTCCAATAGTAGTGTCGAGACAATCATATAATTTTCCTTGAATGTTCATTGGTGCATAAATAATTAGAGCTATCAAAAATGGGCCCATGACAACCACATCGTCACGGGGCAATATTTAATAATTCAAATAGGTTAGCTTGCGAGTTGTTCCATATCATAATTCAATGGAAACGTATGATTATTAATCACAGATTAGTTAGTTTAATGGTGAAAATACAAACAAAATGTGTCTGTCACACATATTTCAATTCCAACTTCATCAGTTTCTTAAGAGTATTTTACAAGTAATTTTCTTAATCCTATCTATCACTACAACTAACATCAAGTCATTTGATTTTTCCACGAAGAACCAGTATTATAATTTTTTTTTTCAAGTTTTCAACTCTCTATGAATTTATCTTCCTGTAAATATCTTTCTTCTCCTCACATGAGCACCTTATTTTCTGCCCATGTGCTGTCACTATCAGGTTATTAAGACCCAACGTTAAATGATACTAGTTTTTTTAGGTGAACAAATAAATGATTAGTTTTTATTTGGGTTAAGGTGCAATTTTAACTTGATGTTATTTTTTACATGCAATTTTGTTTTTGATATTTTTAGTAGTATAATTTTAACTTTGAGGGACAAAATTGTACCCAAAGATTAGAGGCAAAATTGCACCAAAAAAAAAAGTGCAGGGACAAAAGTGCATTTAAAAAATAAAATCAAAGGTAAAATTACACCACTAAAATATTAGGGGTAAAATTGCACATGAAAAATAAGATCAGGGTCAAAATTACATCTTAACTCTTTTTATTTTAAAAAAATGTATAATTTACCTTAATTAGTTTTAAAATAACAAAATAATATACTCAAACTTAAAACAAAAAAAAAAAAAACCTGCCAGCATGATTACGTAGTAGGATATACAGAACAGATCACCGTGTGTTGTGAGCAGAGCCATGTAAGCCAGGTAAGTTGCGGTGAAAATGGGATTAATTTAATATGTCTCAGTGTCCTCCTGATCTATTCCCCACCCCCCCCCCCCCAAAAAAATTTTTTTTTGCCTAAATTAAAATGTAAAGTTTAGTCTGAATCTGTTAATTTTTTGGTTGCAAATCTGTTATTTTGCTGGCTATGTCATAGCTAACCATGACTTTTCGGATCACTGATATCTCATATCTCCTGATTTTATTTGGGCACCCCAAAAAAAAAAATCCTAACAAACTTATACTGTTGAAATGTTGTTTAAAATTTACAAAATTCAATTTTTAAAAAAATCAATGATAACTAATAACTTGTTTCATAGAATTTGAAAATGTTTAAACTTTTCAAGATGGTTAAACTGTACGGTGTTATGAGTCATAAATTCTTAAAAAAATCATTTATAACAACATAATAAATATTATGTATCGCACTTTAATTAAAACTAATACTCTCTCAAGAATACCAAATTATCAGAGAATCTAACCCTGCCCCCACAGGCCATGAGGCCAGCAATTCCTTATTTATATTTCGTGATCCCAGGAGCTGGTGCCGGAACCATCTTATAATTTCGTATATATAATATTTGCATATACTGACACATTTTACAATTAAACTTAAATATTCTCATTTTTGTGAAATATGTATTTCATGGTTCTACATTTTTATTAAAAAACCTGACATAATGCATAAAAAAGGTTGGATATAAGTATTTTATTTTAAAAAACTCAATCAACTGTCTAAGGACTTGTTTGGATTCATAATCAACAAGCACGTTCACCTAAGCCAAAATAAAACTCTTCTTACATATTTTTTTCGTATTTCGAATCATAATTAAAAAGTTATTTATAAGTTACTTAAGACTCATTTGAGATGGTTTATAAGTAATTTTTTAGTCATGATATATAAAATACAAAGTAAATATGTAATATTTTTTGTTTTAATTTACGTAAAATATAATTATAAGTACTTAAAAAAGTCAATCCAATCAACACCTTATATTGTTCATAAAGTTATCATTTAGCCGCGAGTAAAAGGGGTTCCTTGTCTATAATGAAATTTACCCGGTTATCCATGAACTCTATGCTGAAATTTTCTTCGTTGTCTCCTTAAAGGTTTATGTACTCAAATAATTACACAAACTGATAACCCCCAAAAAAAACACGTGTGAAAATGAAGCTAAATAAGGAACAAAACAAGTCCAACCTTTGTGGGAAAAATGAAAGAATGCTGTCACAAATCTATCATTACAATATGATGAAGCCAACGCACGACGGCACTTGAGATTTTCATCGTACGGCCATGTAGTCGTCACAAGTTTCATTGGAACAGGGCAGAGGAAGAGAACCTGGACTCCCTTCAACAGAAGCCAAAGCTCTCTCCAGATTCGCCACGATATCACTCACACTCGGTCTCTCTTTCCCCTCCAAATTCACACAATGCATCGCGCTATACGCCATTATCTCCAAACCTTCAACTTCGTTCGCCTCTGGTTCTCCTACTCTGTAATCCAACACACTCCATAGCTCTCCTCCTCCGATCCTCGGTCCTGCATATTCCACCACTCCCACTGGACTTGCCCCTCCCTCCTCCTCTCTAAACACTGCTCTTTTCCCTGTCAGAAGCTCCAACATAACCACCCCTAATCCATACACATCACTTTTTGTGGTCAAAACGTTCATTACGTAGTACTCTGGATCTATGTACCCTACTGTTCCTACAGCTTTTGTTGATATGTGTCCTTCCTCACCCATCAATGATAATCCAAAGTCTGAGACTCTGGCGTTCCAATTTGAGTCTAATAGTATGTTTGATGACTTTATGTCTCTGTGAATTATCGAGGGTACTGCGTAGTTGTGAAGATACTCGATCCCTCTGGCCGCGTCGAGGGCGATTTTGATCCTCAATCGCCATGAATTTACAACACTGCTGGTTCTTTCGGTGTTGTGAGCGTTGTGCAAGTGGTAGTGGAGTGATCCGTTGGTCATGTATTCGTAGACCAGGAGCTTCTCGTCGTTTTGCTCGCAGAATCCAAGGAGGCCCACCAGGTGTTTGTGATGAAGCCTAGATAACAAAGCCACTTCTGAATCGAATGCGCTTTCTCTCTCTTGGAATTTCTTCTTTCTCGTGCAGGTTTCTCCTCGTTTGATTGCGACTTCACGTCCATCTTCTAGCTTGCCTCTGTACACAATGCCGAAGCTTCCGGAGCCTATTTTGTTGTCAATGGAGAAGTTGTTAGTGGCTATCGCGAGTTCTGACAATGTGAAGGTCTCCATCCTGTCTACTACAATGGAGGATGACCCACTTCTTCTGTAGCTCCTTAATGTCCGTGAATTCTGTCGTTTGCTGGAGAATGATCTTATGGTTGTGTCTGTGGTTGAAGCAGCGGGAAAAGTAATATCCGCATCGGCTTCACTGGCTGTGGCTTGAACTAAATTGTTAGATTTTCTCTGCAATAATAAACGGCATGTTCCAAACCACAAGCAGAAAAGAACTGAGCAGAGACCCACAAAAGCACCAGCTGATCCAAGAATCAGAGATATCAACCTCTCTCTTGTGTTTCTTATTCCCGCAGGTGGGGTTGAAGAATTTGAAGATGGTGATGGTGGTGATGGTGGGGGTGTGATTGGTAATGGCACTGCGAGTGGATCCTCTGTTTGGCAGGAATAACATATTCTTCCAGACCCATGACAGAGAACCTCGGAGTTCGGGTATGTACCACAAGAGCTACAAGAATCCTTGATACATGGTCCTGGAATTATCATTCCCATAGGAAGAACAAGATCTGTACTGTTAGTACTAAGCCTTCTAGACCAACCTGGTCCCCAGCAGATCACAGACAGATTTCCTGTCAGTAACCCACAAACATAATCCAAACCAGCAACAATTGACTCGAATGAAACATTCTGAATCATGTCATTCTCGATCTCAGACCTGTTGATTCTTCCCCAGCACATAACCAGACCATTTTTGCTTCTAAGAGCACAAGTGAAGTTCGCTCCTAATGCAAGACTTGAGAATTCCGAAGGTGAACTGAAAGGAACATTCAATTGTCCAGCATTATTGCTTCCTTGGCAGACCAAAACTCCTTTAATGGTCAAACCACAAACATGGGATTCTCCTCCAACTAGGCTTGACATTGAAAGATTCCTAAACTGTCTCTGAATCTCATCCCCATTCCTTTCTCTCTGACCCCAACAATGAACACTGTTGTTTCCCTTCAGAATCCCACAAGAAAACCCACATCCAGATGTGAGTCCACGAAAATGAAGGTCCTCATTCGGAAAGGGAAACTCGTGTCCATTTCCGTCTTTTCCTCTCCAGCATCTGACTATACCAGTGCTCAACGCTCTGGCACAAACCTGAGTATCTCCAACTGTTAGATCAGTCAATGAGACGGTGGAGCTGTAATACAAGCGTCTCGGCTGAAAGGGAAAGTATGAATCCGTAGTGTCCCAACAAAGGAGGGTGAAACCGCCGGAGAGGAGACCGCAGAAGAAGCTCCGGCCACCGGAGATGGCTTGGAAGGAGACATTGGGAAGGACTTGGATAGTCTGACCGTTTTGATAGCATAATATTCTCCGGGTGGGTTCGCCAGCAACAATGCCGCAGAAGGTGCCGGTTCCGTAGACGACGGCGGTGGTTGATGCAGAGCCGAGGCCGTTGACGGCGGTCGGTAGCAGCAGAAAAGGGAAGAAAATAATGATGGAGGCGAAGATGAAAGGAATAGGAAAAAGAGACGAGGGTAGATTTGTCATCGGTGAGTTGCACGCTTCTTCTTCTTCATTGAGAGAGAGGTTGAAGGTTGAAGAAGAAGCAGAGAGCAGGATGGGAACAGTAAAAAGAATAATAAAAGAATGGAAATTTGTAGTTATAGCAAAACGAGAGGCGGTGGCGAAGGCTAAAGCGTGTGGTCCCGTGAACAAGGTACCTTGTTAATCTCGTAATAGATCGACGTGACGACATTAAAGACATCAAAATTGAGATATCACCATCAACGCAATTTTGGAGTCCCAGTGAGATATCGCAGTTGAGTTTATACAATCTGAGCAGTAGAAACTAGAAACTAGAAAGCGGAGCGAAGAATCAGATATAGATACTGCTTATTCCTATTATCATGCAAACCGTTAGATTAGTGAGATCACTTTAATACTACATTTACGAATATTTTTAAAATGCTTTTCAAATTACTTTTTTTTTTCCTGGACAAATTCAACTCCCATATAAAACAAAACATGTGTCCGAAATTTGGCGATGAAACAAGAATCCTCAAAGAGATGGCTTGCGTCTTCAAATGATCCAAAGGGGCTTACATTGGTTTTATGGGAATAAAAATAGATCTCAAGCTTAAGCTTACTAACTTCTGAAATGTGATGGCCCAACAAGAAATAGGAAAAGTAAAGACTTATTAAATGTAATACTCCTCCGGTCCTTAATATAGGACCCAATTTTTGAGTTGGTTTTGGTCCTAAATATAAGACCCATTTATCATATTTATCAATTTTCTCTAAATTACCCCTATAGATACTCCCTCAACCATAATTAAATAGAAGAGGGAGAGGAAGTATTAAGAAAGATGATTATGATGTTTTAGAAAAAATATATCACTTTTTTTATAATTAACTAACTTACCTAACTTCCTTAATTTAATCAAATTAGTTAAATGGGTCTTATATTAAGGATCGGAGGAGTAATACTGTATGGTGCATGATGCATCAAAATAAAAGGTTGTCAGTCATCAATTCAATCTGATTTATTGATTACTTAGTCAAAGATCCTGTTAATAAGACGGGAGTGTCCGTCAGATTCTGAAAGATTCACCCACAACGATAAAATTTGGGACCAAAATGGGAAATCAATGCTAATAAAAGACCTAAACATTTAAAAATGTGGACTACCATTTAAGGATTTTTGTTTTCGTAGTTTAGGATGAATCTACCTATACGGAAAACGCTCTTAAAAGTTTTTAATATTTCGCGTTAAGTTTTGGGGAAAAAAACAAAAAAAAAGAAAATGCATCCATCATATTGCAAGACGCTTGACGCTCATCTGGCGCTAGTTTGTTAGTGGCTATAGTTTCCACCTCTTGGAACTTTTCATGAAATGGTAAAATTAAAATGAACAAAATCACAACAAATGAAACGATATTCACCTACTCTTTGTTCCAACTGAATTAAGATTTCAATTTGAATCGCAAGTAATTCTACATACGGGCATCAATGTACCAGGCGTGCCTGAGATTAATGAAGCTCAAAGATTATTGCATGCCTATAATACATTCCACTGACAAATTTTACAAAAACTAGGGGGGAAATTACGAAAGTGAATCCTGCAAAGTTGCAGCTTAGTTCTTTTACTATTAACATTTTAAAACAGTTCGAAATCTCAATTAATGGGATCTTACGTGAAAGGTTTAAGTTTTTTTTTTCTTTTTATTCTCTATTATTAATTTTCAAATTTTACAATTGAAAGAACATTTTATTTTTACAGGATAACAAATTTATTAACAAAAAACACTGCTATCTTCTTTTGCCAAATCATAAAAGATCTGATCGATGTAACGTTGGCATGCATAGATACTCTGTTTTTTTTTTTAACCAGAGCGTAGATACTCTTTTTGGGGCATGTGAAGTTGTGAACCCTTGTATAAATATATATATATAGAGAGAGAGAGAGAGAGAGAGAGAGAGACTGTAATTATAGAAAAATAAATAACCTGAAAGATCTGACTTTTAGCTCATGCACTATGGCAAACTGGCTGACACATTAAATAATTTATTTTAATATTCAGAGTGCCCCAAAGAAAACAAAACTCAGAGTGAGTTGTCATGAAGCTGAGTTAGTAGAATATTGATTTCCTTAAAATTCTAATTGTCCAATTCAATTAATGGGCGGCTGATGGTGCAGACGCAGAATTACTAGTATTTTTCAGAGGGGCGAGAGAATTGGGAAAGTACTCCTCCGGTACTTAATATAAGACTTAATTATTGAGTTGATTTTGGTCCTAAATATAAGACCCATTTATCATATTTATCAATTTTTTCTAAAGTACCCCTATGATACTCTCTCAATCATAATCAAGTAGAAGAGGGAGATGAGGTATTAAGAAAGATGATTATGGTATTTTAGGAAAAACATGTCATATTTTTTATAATTAACTAACTAACCTAATTTCTTTAATCTAATCAAATTAATTAAATGGGTCTTATATTAAGGACCGGAGGAGTAATTATTATTAATCTTAAGCAATGGGGCAAGGAATAAAAAGAAAGCCATCTGCATTGGGAGAGAAGGACCAATTATTGCCACAAAGCGTCATCTGATGCTCTCATGTGATTATTACCGTTCGGCAAGAGATAGACTTTGTATCTCCAATTATTATTTATTAATTCGTGACATTTAAAATTAGTTATTACCGTTGGCATCAAAAAATTAGTTATGAGACATCAATTCTCTTTTCTCTCCAAATTTGTAATTTATTTTCTAAATTATTCATATTGATTCCACGTCTTAATGAGTTGTCTTCTAAAATTAGTTATGAGTAAAAAAAAATACCTTAAGAAAATTACAAATAACCAACTTCACTACTACCTCAGATCCTAGTTATAAGATATCATTTGTAATCTACAAACGAAATTTTATAATTAGAATCAAATATAGTAATTTTTAATTCACTAAAATTAATTAAGTAGCTTTTATATTTAGAACTCGAGGTAACATTAAATACATATTTTTCATAGAATAACTTGTGAAGATCATATATTTTATTATTGTTTTTGAAAAATTATTAAATTTTTTAAAAGGACAAAAAAAAAAAAGGGCATCAGGCCTAGCTTCAAGAGGCACTGATCTTAGCAATTCAGTAGAGACAATGAATCTTGGTAAAGATTATTGCCGAATGTCAAGTACATCATACATCGGTTTCGTCTCATTAGTCATTAGTACAGGCAAAGAATCACAGATGAAGTCCACTTTTTTACACTATCTTTTATCCATATTATACAGATACGACTACTATGTATAAACAGAAAAATACTAATTAGGGAAGATAACCAAAAGTGATTTTAACCCCTAAGTTTGGGAATAAGTTGGGAATAATAGCTTGATCAAAAAACTAATATCTTACAGTCGATGCAAAATAAAACAATGGGAGAAGATTTATTTTAAAAGCTGAAAATTGTTAGCCATTTGCTACAGTCTTCGCCTGATCCTTGCTAGCTTTAATTAATGTGTTTCCCCATACACATATGCATAACTTTAAATTGATGGCGATTAGAGGGCTCTGCACGGCGGAGCAATTTTTTCTTTTTCCGGGGCCAACCAAGGCGGAGCAACCAGCTCCGACGGCGAACAACACATCGTTGGTGCGATGGACGCTGCAAATTGACCGCAGGAGTAAAGCAGCGGCTTCGAGGCGGTTTTCAGAGCTAAAGCTTATTATTCGGCCAGTATCGCCAGGCCAAGATTAGAAATACTAAGATGTGAACGACTAAAGAGAATTTAAAATGGCTGAATAGAAGTTGGGCTTTTCTTCCCAACAAGTTTGAAACTAGGGCCCAGTAAGTTTTCTGGAAATAAAATGAGTTGGGCTTTTTTTCCCAACAAATCAGATTTAATTTGAAATTATTATAATTAAGTGATGGGGTTTAGTTCTAGATCCCTCACAATATAGTAAATCAAGATTCGAGTTCCTATTAAGAGAGATATTCACATTTAGTGCTTATCCTAATCAAGTAAAATCATACTACCTCCGATCCTAAATGTGAGAATTAGTTGAAAATCCAATTTAATCATAAATACAAGACACTAATCTAATTTGTCTAGCATATTTATTTATTTTCTCCCAAAATAGTCTTCATGACAATTACACGTGTTAACAGATTTCCATTGTGATGTATATAATAAACAAAGGTATTTTAGAAAAGACAATACTTATTTATTACAAATAATTAATTTAACTATTTTTTTAATATCTGTATATTGTTATTTAGCTCTTCTATTATAGGCCGAACATAGTAACAAATTGCCTCAAATTGAGGATACATGTGCCGAACCGTTTCTGATTAAAAATCAAGCAACTTTAGAATAAGTGGTAAATTATTCTTTTGCTGTGTTTGGACACATTGGTTTGTTTAGATGGTCAAAAGGAGGGGAAAAGTCTCTCCAACTTTGACAAGCTAATGAAAGTTTGTGATGGCAATATCTTCATTATGCGCTTCTTCCCTGTTGCAGGACGCATAGAAAGTATTGAGCCACATATCTGTCCATATATCTCTTTTTTTAGCAATAACGATAATAATGGACAGATCCAAATCTATTAAAGTGCCCACAAATTTGTTAAAGCAAACTCACTGATGAAGCCAATAATGACATTTAACAAATGGGAAGATTTTGAATAAACCACAAAACAAGTTGATGAGAGTGGACACTGCTGGGTGGTGAGTAACAGTAGGATCCATCAGAGAAACAGTGATCGACAAGAAAGGCATTTGCACAGCCAAGGCACCCCACCTCTCACTCTCTGCCCGCTGCTCTGTGCCTTTCACGCGCCTCTCATTCAAAAGCTCCACAAAAGAATTTGATAATGATATATTATTAATCCTTTCCATAATTATATATATATCTCACTTCAACGCACGATGCCAGTGTGCATGTGTCCGAACTGTGCTGGATCAGAACGGAACATAAGTCACCTATTTACCGATTGAAAGAGACCCAATCATAAGCCTCAGGTTGGGTCACCTGCAGCATTCATAGT